CTTTTAAATTATAAACTTACTTTCAAAGTTCAGATTCATTTTTTAAACATAATTCCAAATTTTGGCCTCCTTCTGGCTTCTTAGGGTCAGTTTCTGTATACTTGTTGTACATCTCTGGATTTACTGAGCTGCAATTCTTTTCCCTCTTTATTACTGTCCTTTTCTGTTTCCTTTTCCGTTCATTCTCCCAGCAGTCTTGTGCATCCTTTTTCCTCCATCTTGCCCACACTCTGTTTTCTCCTACAGTCTCCCTGCATTAATCTGCACATAAGTTTTCTCTTTTGGACACTCCTTATTGCAGAGACTGTGGTCTCATCCTCTCTTACCTGTCCTGTCCCTGCCTACTCTGCCTTTGTGCCCATTTACTATCCTCTGCTGTGCACCATTTCCCAAAAACAAGGACCCTCAGTTTGATACACTCTGTTGCCAGCCACTCCATACTCAGATTCATGCTGCTCTCTCTCCCATCTCCTTGCTGTATTTCCTAACAACAGGTTTACTTTCACTGATACTTGAAGATAACAGCATTGTGTTGTTGAAAGAGGTGTATCCCAACAAAAAACACAAGGATGGAGTCTAGCCATCCTGAGCAAAATGGTCTCAGAAAAACTGTAATAGTTTGTTATAAGTGAAATATTTACATCGTGGTGGTGATAAAAGTGTAAGTGTCTGCACACCTTGTGTAACCAGAAAGGTAACTTCAGATGAGTTTCTTTTCTGGATGTCAGTTAGTGGATAAAAATAGGTTTTGCCTTAATGGACATGTGAATTCCTTGCCAGCCATTTCCAAAAGGATCCTTGTCCTTTCAGTAACCTCATTTGTAAAATGGGGGAACAATACCTCCTGCCTTCGATGGTATTGCTCAGTAATGGGGCCTTTGAAGCATGGTCTTTTGGCTTTCATCCCAGTGCACCTGTGCCATGGTGAAAGGGCATTTGGTGGAGCTGTTTGTCTCTGTCTCTCAAACTGCTTCGATGTTGGTCAGACACTTTCCCAGGTGGGGAGCCATATGTCGCAATTGCTTATGTTTGATGGCTTTGATTAGGCATTTTTCTTTCAACTAAATGAAAATTGTCAGATTTTAAGCAGAAGTATTAAGAGCATCCATTTGTAGGTAAAAAGCAAAGTCTGTAGAAGCTGTGAAGAAAGCAAGCAGTAAAAGTTGAGTAAAATGAGTACAAAATTTGAGCCCCAGCAGTATATCTGAGAAGTATAACTTTTGATAATAGCATGGAATTACATACCCATAATGAGTACAATGGACTTGTATAGGTTAACAAATTACTACCTTTCTTGTTCTTTTTCAGAAGATAGAAACAAACTGTTTGTTAGCCTTCTTTATTCTGCAAGCTATGAGTTGCTTTATATACAAATTACAGTGTGACATTTATTTTCATTTATGTTCCTTCCTGTGTGGATGTTTTTACGCAAAGACATTTAGGACATGTTCCCTTGTTAATTTAGGGGTATGAAAGTATGAAAACTGTTAGTACACAGATGCTATTCGTCTCACTAAATTTATAGCAAAAAATGTAAAATTAGCATTTTCTTCCAGTCTTGGGTCACATTTTAAACTCATTAGTGTTGTACTGTTCTCAAGATGGGGCTGGGGAGAAGTAAGTACAGGTTTCTGAAGCACTACTTCTCACGGGAGAAAAAAGTTTAGATGAAAGCTGTTTGTAGCATGGATAGCATAAAGATTTATGCAACTCATACTTAATTGATAGAAAGTATCTATAGATACCTTTTATAGAAAAGCAGCTACTGCTTGCTGGGGTTTTTTTTCCATTAACAGAAGTAAAAAAAATCAATGGTCAGCTGTGCTAGGAGTGGATGCTTACTACTTTAGAAAGAACATTGCATTGTTTTGACTTCTAAAATTCAGCAGAGCAAGGCCTATAATGCTTGCTTGCTAACTGACAGGTGAACAAGGATTATTAAGGACCAGGACTGTATTGTCACAGAATTTTCATGTCCAGTTATTTAATTTAGGATTGTACTTATCATATTTAGGTGATACAAGTAATGTAATTGTATTGTACGCATACACGTTCATACACAGTTTTTATTTGCACCCAGAAAGAAAGTGTCATTAGGGAAAATAATTTCAGATCAGCTACTTCTGCGTGTCTTCCTGGTATGTAAGTGGCATTTGACTAACGTGACAAATCTGATAAGGAACACAGCAGCATCCAAGTTTGAATTAAAAATCCACCCCTAGAATAAGTAGTAAAGCTTAAATGAGGGAAACCAAACTCCTGTTTCGTCTTGTATGTAGTACAGTAAACTTTTTCATTTTGGTGATATTTCTTTGGAATCTAAAAGTTGTTTGGTTTCTTAGATTAAAAACTCAAGAACAGAGTCTTAACTATGTCTTTCCCTAGTCCTTGATAAACTGGATTTTGTGTTGCATTCAGTGCAGTTCATTTCAGAAGACTTAATGAAGACCTTCACAGTAATGTCAAATGGTGAACGAATGGGCTCATGACCCAATGCTTACTGCCCAGCTGGTAGGTGAAGGCTTTTTAATCTCACAATTTGGTTAAAGAGGAAAAAGATCTTGGATTTGAGTGTAGCTTACTAGTAGGGCCCTTTTTGGACACTAGAATCACAAAGTCTGCATGAAAGAAGCAGTTTCAGTGATTCACCTTGTGGCCACAACAGTTGCTATTTATCCATTACTGTTGGCTGTGCCTGCACGCAGTTAATTGCTTGAGGTGGAATTATACTCAAGTCTCACTCCAAGAAAGTGTAAATTCATAACCTGACTAACAACAAGCACTGGACCAAAAAAGCTGCCCAGTTTAAAACAGTAAAGAAAGAGATATTACAAGTATCCCAAACATCGCATGTGTAGGAACTCTGGAACCTCAGGCTCTGCCACAAGTTTATTCCACATGTCTGTCACATTGGAAAGTGGTTATTATGACATGTCAGCAGGACATGTCATTTAAGTGTTGATTTTTGTGGAATAACATTTGAAAGTGAACAGGCTTGCCATTTGCAATGTATGTTTGAATGACAGCTGTTCTGTTTTCCTAGATTTCAACAAGAAAACTAGCTTGAAGTTTTCAGGAGCTAAATCTGTCAGCTTTTTGATACAAAGGAAATTTGAAGGGCTGGAGCACTGACAGCAGTGGGGACAGAAGCACAGTTGCAGAATAAAAATCAGAAATAAGTACAGATTTACTTTGCTCTTTAATTTACGTTCTTGCTGTGTTTGAGAGCCCAAAGCAGAATAGGGGTACTGTAAGGCCACTGCTAGTAAAAATATTTTCACAAGGCTGTTGGGGGTATGTAATCTACCTTCCTCACTACATCACTGAAGGCTAGAGTCAGCACAGAACTGAGAATTGAAGGCAAAGATAGCATAGCTGTGGCTGTGCATCCTCAACAGCGGGACCAAGCTGGAACCTATCCTGCATATTGCACTTGGCATTGGTTTATGACGTTTATATGTGTGATGGTAATCCTCACCATTCTCAAAACTCTCTATCTCATGCATGGTTATAAATTAATGCTTTGGGTATCACATCTTTGTTTCTGCAACTGCTTCTAATGAAGTTCTCTGTGTGCAGATTTTATTTAAATTCTACTTTTCTTTTGATCTTGCTGTTAGTATTTGAAGTTGACTGATATTTATCACTGTGTTCTCACTACCTGCCTAGTTTCCCTGGTGAATTCCCCATGGCCTTCTTGCTTAATGCCGAACTGGCAAAGATGCTGGCAAACGTTACCATAGACAAGCTGATGAAGTCAGACTAATGACTTAGGCTGGGTTCTGAACTTAGAGCTTTTGCCATTTTGGTTGAGGTATTTTTCTGTTTTGGTTTTCTTTGGGAGGGGTAAGGGGTGTTACACCCAACAAAAACCTCTGAGTATGGAAGTAGCTACTAAGCTAGCAAAGCTAGTCTGGCAAACTTTAGCTTAATATTTGGTAATCATTCAGTGATACATGATGTAGGCCTTGAGCAAGTCAAATGAGTATTTTAATTCATAGGTTTTAGTGTGTTTCTCCTACTGTTAGGTTACTCTTTTTAAAAGTGGCTGTATTTTACTGTCAGTATCATTTTAAATGAAATAGTGCTCATTTCAGGATAAATGAAAGGGAAGTGTTACTGTAAGACAAATCTGTGATAAGTGTTCTTCTGTTGGTACAGATGGCATCTGTGTATTTTTATCACTACAAATCACTCACAGTTCGAGTCATACTTAGTCCAATATCTTGCTTTATGTTTATTAAAACAATCACAGTTTTAGATACGATATTAATCACTCAGTTCTTTGGAAACATTTGGATTGGTAGATGAAAACACATATTTATTTTGAGAAAGCAAATGATACAATTTTCCACATATTTGTAAATCTGGAAATAATAAACTTTATTGCAAAGCAGTGAATTAGTAAGCTGGAATCTGATTTGTTAGCTTTATTTTTCTCATACATGATTTATCAGTCATACATTGCAAGTGCATGACTGATAAATCAGGACTTTGAATAGTACCAGTAAATGCACTGGGGACAGTTACCTACATTTAAATACATAGTACATTTTTGTTTATTTTTTTTTTGTTTTTGTTTTTTTCAAAAGTTTCAGTCTGTTGGTTAAGATTCCTCAGGAAGTCTTGCATTTGTTTTTTATACTGTGATGATTACATTCGAGCTCTGAACTGGTGTCCTGGGTTCAGCAGTAGCAGTCATTTTGTCTCCTTAGTAGCTGGTGTAACGCTGTGTTTTTGACCTTCGGCCTGGGAACAGCGCTGATAACACCAATGTTTTCAGTTACTGCTGACTGGGTTTAAACCATGACAACTGGTAATTCCACAGCTGTGCTAGCTTAGAAGGGAGAACAGCAAATTTTTAAAGGTTAGGTTTTCAGATAGAATACAACTAGTTGGATCTAATAGATTTGGATCAAACTGCCTTTTCCCTTCTGGGGATTGCTGGTGACTTTGTTAGCATAGCCAAAACAGTTTACAGACTCTTTTGCATTATACAGGTTACCTGTGCTCCAGAGATGCCCACTCTCAGATTGGGAGGGCCCTGTCTATTCTTCCAGCACCTGAGCCAAACCCATAACCACGGAATGGGCAAGCAGAGCCATAAGTGCCTACATGCCCCTGCTCTTCACTGTATCTGGTGAGTTTTTCTATACTATAATGTCTACATAAAAATGGATTGTGAATCCCTATAATAATATTGGCAGTGTTCCACGTAGCAGTAGAAATGAACTGTGGGCTGTGCTCCACTTCATCTTTACAAAATGATAAAGAGGGAGCAAATTAGCTCCAAGCTTTCCAAACTATGTGCCTGAAGGAGAACAAAAAGGATAATTTCTTCATTCTCTCAAATGAAAACCAGTTGCCCCCTGCTTTCCTCAGGATATGTGAGGGAAGCAGGCCTGCATGTACGAAAGATGTGAAGTGATGCCAACTGGTTATATAACGTATGTGACCTGATCAAGATAGACGACTTCTGACTTAGTTACTGGTGTTTTCATAATTAAGGCAGTTTTCTTGTTCTGAACCCCAGCATTTACCCAGTTGAATTAACTTTTAAGGAATGGTATTCAAACTATAAAATATTTAAATTCAACTGAGATGTAGCCAGATTAATTTTGCACCAGTAACATTTATTGAAAACTGAAGGAAAATGTGTGTTTCTGTAGCAGACACACCCGACCTAACCAGTTTCAAATTTGTACACACTTGCATTAGCAAACTGTAGCTTGCTTTGCTCAACTGAAGTATGAGTCACAAAGATATCAAAGAAAATAACATCCAAAATTCCACTTTAAGGGTAACACATAATTATACAATTGGTTGACTCAAATGAACAGTCGTCTTCATAAGCAGCATTATCTTGAATGACCTTCTATCTAAATATGTCTTTACACAAAGGGCCAACACTTGCTAACCCTGTTTGTGTGAACCCTCAGAGCATGTCAGCAGAACTGTTCAAAGGGCAGGGTTACAGTCAGGATAGCTTCAGCAGTGCTGAGATACTTGTGTGTAAGAACGTTGGAGGTGGGCTTTTGTATTTCTTTGTTCCTGTAGTACATATAACAAACGTGTTTTACTGTTAAATAGTCTGGATGTACCAGGAGAGCATGACATTTGTATTCATGGCATAAAATACAGCTTGAAAGAGTCTTCACTTGATTGGTAAAATTCAGTTGCCCCCCACAGTGGAGAACAGGCAAATTTTTCACTTACATTTTTTGGTTGGGAGTAATTCCATTCACTTCAGGGCAGTTGCTCAGTATTTACTGTCATGCAACTCAGTTCAGAATGTGCCCCCTCAGACAGGAAAACACTCAGAAAACAACTGTGAGAAGATCATGCTGCAGAAGATTGTAATGAGGAGAAAGGAATATTCCAGAAAATAATTTGCCTAATCTCTTTTATAAATTCATATTTAAGCATACATACATTTATATTTACATATTTACACATCACAGAAGAGGGGACATCAAAAGTCACCCAGTTCAGCCACTGTGATGAGCTGGGATCAGCTTTGCCTAAAGCATGTTACGTGAGAAGCAATAGTTTACTATTAGGACTTGCTGAAATGGAATTCTGCTCTTTGTAATGAAGTACAGGCAGACGATACAGATGTTTTACCTTGAGTAACCTAAAATTCATGACAGAACTTGAGAGAAAAAAGGATGATCCCATATACACACGTTTTCCTATCAGCTAAGAATCTTCACTGTATTACCATTATAATGATGGATCTATCATGCTTTACCAACTGCCATACTCAAATGGGGGGAGAGGGTGTTTGGTAGAAATGGCTTATAATACCTTACATATTGAGGTGTTACTAATGTTTAGAATAAACCTAAATGTATTAAATACACAGTAATATCCATGTTTGTAAACAGAAATGAATGTCATTAGGAGATAATTTGATATGTATGTAATTAAGTAACATTCTCTACTGGAATTATATGCATTGTACTTCCTATATTGGTTCAAATTGCATTAATATTAAAATGCAAAAAGAAAACCATGCAGTTGTATGAAACTGTAATTCTTAAAAATTATTTATAAGATGGAGTTATTTTCCTGACTAAAAAACATCTTTTGGCTTTGTGTATTATATAACAACTTGCATTCAATCTGGGAGGAAGAGCTGGAGCTATACAAGCAAAATATTGAGGTACTATTGTGCAATTCTTCTGGAATTTTGCTGTGCAACAATAAATGTCAAACATGTCTTGTAATTCCCTTATGATAGTGTTACCCCAGTAAGGTACTTTTTCAGTGTATTTCTTTACTTTCTCCTTTTTCCACTTTATCAGTCAGTACAAGATACCAGCTTGCACTGACTTACTGTATACTCTTTAATAATGTCAAGATGTAATAATATTCTATGTCCCAGAAAACACAATGGGAACTCCATATTAAAATACTGTATAATTATTTCTTGCACTTGATTATAAGTGTGGGGCAAGTCTAAATCAAAAAATCGTATTTAATTCGCACACACAAAATATTACTAGAGTAACAAACCAGAAATTTCCAGATACAAGAGAGCAGAAGTTGTTTGCCTCACATCTGCAGGAATGCACTCAGTGAATTGGTAAGGCAGATGGTGCAATTTTTCTACCAAATTCTGTAAGATTGCTAATGCAAGGTTTCTCTCACTGTAGTGAGACCAGCTGTTCTTGTGTATTTGACCACATCCCTTTCATAATTGCAAAATTAATCTCTTCGGTTTGGATCTGATCCAAATCCAAATTTGTAAGACAAAAATAAAATGGCAAACTGCAACACCAGATCTACCCTGCTCGTCACTCCCCTTTGAATGCAGTGGCTCCTACACTTCATATTATGGCTTGACTCATCTGTGAATGTGGATGCACACACAAAAATACAATCAGAACTACTTTTTAAGTGTGGTGTTATGGTGTGTATATATAGCAACAGGTTATACAATAACATTAGTTAATTAGGTATTATTAAAGCAAGGTTTTATAAATCTGTCTCAGACATCATGTAAGAAAGACATTTAATATAGGGAATAAAATGTATTTATAAGTATTACAGTGATTTAAAAATACTTAAAGCCTATAATAATCTGTTGTTTGCTAGGATTATAACTGGATTTTACTACTCATATTTGTGTGCATAGGCTCAACTGCTTGAATACCATGACTCACTCCACTGGTAGGTGAGTACCATCTTTCTACATCTTGTTTGTGGTTTCTTGGCAAGTATTTTCAAATGCAGATGCCTGGCATTAATTAAGGGGCCTAATCTTTGGATGTAGTGGCTTGGAATTCATGTTGCATTAGGGAGTATTCAGTAGTTTTGAATGTCATATTACTGGCTTGGAATATTAAATAATTGCCATCTTTTCTACTAAACCTTAAGAATGTAATCTGTGTTCATTTAATTTCTTTGACATTAGCTCCTGAAGAAAGGGAATAGAGCAGACTGAAGTTAATCCAGGGACTGGTTTACGTTTCTGATAATGCAACTTGTTCTGCAGTGGCAATGGACAGGTTACAGCATGCCTATAATTATATATCATATAAACACATTACAGCAGTAGTTTCTATAGGCACAGTTCCAGGAACAACCTGGGGTTGTTCTAAATAACAAATATAACCCCACTGCAAAGTGTGGGAAACAGTGCATAACATCAGTAAAAATGCTCATGCTGGTAAGTCTGTCGTTGGGCTGTCGTGCATATAAGAATACAAGAAAAATTAATTAATTACAGATTGTTAGGCAGCAGTTGGAAGTAATTGTTTTGCCAAATTAGTAGTCTTGAAGATAACACACGTTCACTAGAAAATTTGTTACTGGCACAATTTAGCAAGAATATGTGAAAGGGAGGTTAACTGAGTGCCTGTTCTCTAAAATAATTGAAAAAGGCCTTTTTATTTTTTTTTGAGAAAGCATCTCTTTCCTCCTAGTCATTATTTCTTGTCTAATTGCCAGCTGCTGAGCTAGTTGATGTTTCAAGTATATAAAAGGGAGTGATGGACATGTATGCAGAATATGTAGAAGCATTTTTGGTTGATTACATGGACCAAGCTGGGAGATACTAGCAGCTCTTTGTGACTACACTCCTTGTTTGTTATTCCAAGTGAGTTTTTCCTATGGCAAGGTGGCTCCTGGAGTTCAGACATTAGCTTATATTATAGCTCTACATTCAAACATAAAATACACATAATGGTTTCTTCTAACAGTTCTTCTCTACTACTTAAATCTCTATGAAATACGGTTGGAACATAACGGGTACTTTCCTTTTCCAAGAACTTTTCATAATGGTCTAAGAAGGATTTACTAACCAGTAATAAGGATATCGCTGGTGGTTTTTGCCCTTGTTAGGAGGTGGCTCACTAAAAACCAAACACACAAAACCTCAAAACAAAAGAAATATGCTTTAAATAACTGCCTATTACATATGCTGCAAGGGATTGAAAATGCACAAGTTAAAAATACATCATCCTGTCATCTTAACTCATAACAAACAGTATAGCCACAGCATGTGGGCAGGGTTTAAGTGTGGCTCTCATGTGGACTGTGCTGACCCTTTTCTATGAGCCACACATTGGTTCCAGCATGGTGTCAGTGCTGACTGCCCAGAAAGCCACTGAAAAGCAGATACAAAGCCTGCAGCAGGAGCTGCTGAGGTCCATCAACTTATCCTTTCTTTTCCACTCCAAGTTCTTTCAAAACCTGCACTTTTTTTTTTTTTTTTGCTTTCTAGTACATGAATTATGTCAAAACTGATCAAATGCATTAACTTACATTTCTGACATCTTTTTATTGGTTTAGTGTTTTACCCCAAAAGTCTGGGGAATAGGATTTAAAACACCCATTTATTGAAGGACAGTTTATTTTAGCACTACTGAAGAAGTAGTGCTAAAATAAGAAAGGAACTGAAGAAGAAGGAACATATATATCTAATCCTATATGAATTACTGAAGAAAGAAAGGAACATATATATCTAATCCAGTTCCTCATGTAAGAAAGGAAAATGGTGTAAAAATCAGACAATAGAAGCTAAGATTCTTATTCTGGGTCTGCAGCTAAAACATTATGCTTTGTGATGAATCACTTAACACCCTTTCCCTTAGTCTGCCACCTGTAATATGGTACAAACCAACAGTTTTCCATGAATGTGTACTGACTAAAAAGAAAGAAAATTATTTCACATCTTTATGAGGATACACAGCTGCAATGCAATGGCAAAGTATGGTCATTGTTTCGTGTAATGAATAGAAACTATCGGTTTCTTTGTACAGTTTCTTTAAAGAAAGACATTTCTCTTTAAAGAAAGAAATATATCTCAGGATATATTCAGAGAAAATATTTTGGACAGTACTTACAGACTAGAAGAGCTCGTCTATAACAGCTTTTAGAAACACTGGGCATGTGATCTTGGCTTGCTCTCAGAATAACTTTGATGCTTATCATTCTTATTACTATTATTATTTTTGTATAGATGATTAAATGTCATAACACTTGGAAATTAATGTCCTATTTAATTACAATAGAAGGACAGCTGTTAGATGTAGTGATGACTATTCTTTATTTCACTGTCTTTGAAGCTTAACTCCACCCTACAAAGCTCCTTCTTCCTGATTTATACCCATAATTTCCTCTGTAAAATGCTTGCACAAGATCAATGGGTATTGCCGTCCATTCAAAACACCAGAAAGGTTACAAATCAAAACTGTTTGAGTCACAGTAAAATTGCCTCGTCACTTATCTTCCCCAGTGCTTTGGGGTAAGGTAATTCTGGTATACTTACAATTCTGCTCTAGTCTACAATGAAAGTTACGTAGCATGGTCCATTCTATTGTTCTAGTGTTATCAAACTATAAACATCAGAATCATGAAACTAAGTTATATACGAATATTTTACTAAAATCAGCCAGATCACTTAGATGTGGTATTACTTCAGTTTGTGAATTTTCTACATAAATATCTTTCAGGTAATTTTCGTCAGGTCAGTTATTTTTCCTTTGCATTGTATTTTGCCCAGTCATTGGCCCAATTAATAGTGACAAAGCTCCTTCAAATGCAAGATTTGTTTTCACATTTTGATTGTATTTTAAGAGTCCCAGAACCATGTAACTTCTATGAATACAAAACTGATCTCAGTGAAAGAAGTAAGGACTATCATAATTACAGTGATGCTCTAGGTTTGAGTTACTGTGTAAGACTCTGTTAGCACATACAATTTTTGGAGGCAATGAACTCTGCATCCTGCAAAAAAGTTCTAAATTCTTGTGAAAGTAATTGTGGCATCATGCTGACCTTTATTTTGCATATAAAGGTTTTGAATCTCAAATCTGAAATGAAATGCCATCCTTTTTCCCATTTTGAAGACAGCAAGTTGGAATAAAGCACTCTAATGCTGCAGTTGGGGCTCTTGCTGTGTTTTTGTAGCAAAGTATGATAGTTCCTGGTTTAACAGTCCCTTGTAGGTCACTCCCAGCAGAAAGGTAACATCACATGGAACCACGGAATCTATCCCAGTGCAATCAGTTCTCAAACATCCTGTCTGGCCTGAGGCAGTGTGTAGCTTCTTGGGCAAAGCCAAACAGCTTCCAGGCTAAGTGTAGGGATTTCGGGATTCTTCTGAGCAGTTTTGCAACCCCTGACTAATTTTAAATGTGTTTGGTTCGTCTACCAAGGTAGTTGGTTTCTGCTTTTGGTACTCTTTCAGATATTACTAGAGAGAGTCTGTTCTGATTTGGTTTAGTTTTATTAAAGTGGATATTTCTTATATATTAACTTTGTTATCTTACATTCTTTAACCTGTGAAATGAAGTTGAGTTTTTCTGTCTGTTCACCACAAACAGTTCTAGAAATAACAATTTCAAGTGTCAGCAAGGGAAATTCCAGCTAAATATGAGGAAAATAATCTGATGACAACAGTTAAGCTTTGGAATATATTGTCTGCAAAGGTTTTGCTGCTGCTAGAAAGGGACCAAAAAAACATTAAGAAGCACTTAGGCATAGCTCTGTATGGAATGACCTCTCATGGTCCTTTCTCCTCCTACTGTTGATGAAACAAGGAAAGAAATAAAGTATGCCTCATTCCTTTTCAGCCTCACAGAGGCTAACTTGGATTTCTTTGCTTGTCGAGGCAGAAGTTATGACCCTGACATGCTTCTATTCTGTTGGTGTATTGGTTTATTGCCTGTTCAGTTTGTGCGGCTTTGAGAAGCAGGTTTTGCAATTATATGCAACAAAGATAATCATGATGCTTTGTAGTTCCTTCACTTTTCTTTTTTAGACTGACAATGCATCTTTACAATATGAGTTAAATTATAACGGTCATTCTTACAGGCTTCAGCTGTCATATCCATAAAAAATACACCATCATATGTAAGTCCTCACAGAAATGTAACTGGAACAGAGACAAGTCTTGCATCCTTAAAACTTTGTCTCTCAAGACTCTGATTAGTTGGGGAAGAACACCTCAAACTCTTAACTCTAAGAAGCTATATTGCATTTTCCCTTAAAGTTTATATTATAGGCAAATTCAGGGTTTATCCTTAGAACTCAGAAATTCTTACCTGTGACAGTTTCTCCAAGATGTTTAGTTCACTGGGATGAGGGAATGGTAGTTAAGCTCATTTGACAGAGAGAGCTTTCATATGTCCGAAATCCTAGACTGAAATTCTTCGCACATGTTTATGCATTTTGTGAAATCAGAGGTCTTTGTGCTGTGTTTACTGAACAGCTTTTGTGAGATATAAATACCAGCACATTCTGGTCACATTTCTAACAAACAGAATGGTCTACTCAATCCCAATATGGTCCTGTGTTAGAGCAGATTGGGTAGTACGCTTCAACGATGGGAAATGCATTTAAATTTTATCCAATGGCCTGTACTGTTTATAAATTTAGATACGTTGTGGGTGTATAGAAGCTGATTGTATAGCTTTATTCATTACATGCTTTATATCAAGTTTTGGCTTCTATTCTGTTCAATGATTGCACATTAGCATTCTTCTAGATCTTTGCCGCATGAAACTTCCTGCAGAACTAGTTTGAACTAATAACGCCTGCTGAAAGAATATTCTTTCTTCTGTCCCTGTCATTAGGAAAACTTCCTATTGATAGCTGATGATTTTCCAGTACTCTTCCCAGTTCATAAAACTACAAACTGGATGCTCACAGACCAGCCATGTCTCTGAAAAAGCATTCATAGGTGGACAAATAGGGGGCTGATGGATCATTCATGAAAGGCTTCTGACGATTACCTTCTACTTTGGCCACAGGTAGAAGTTTCTTCCGTGTGCTTCTGACTGGTCAGTTGGGTTTATCAGCTGACTTGCAATTAAAACAAGGCGATTATTATGTCAAGAGTTCTGGAAGTGATAGTCTAAATTGCACTGACCACAGAATTAGTAGTTTGTGAATTAGAGGCTTGTGGGGGAGTTATTTTCTCTTCACTCTCACTGTCTGCAAAGCACATACTTCTTTCTACTACCCTGAGTTTATTTTAGACATGTGGTCTTTGGTGTAAAATGCTTTCATTCCATTTTGTGGATAATCTTCCTTGGAGACGCAGAAGTTGTGCTGCTAGGAAGGGGGGGGGGGGGGGGAAACATCTTTTCTGGTACAGTTAAGGTGGTTGTTTTTGCTGTTGTGAGAATTTTACCAGAAGCTTTAATGGCTGGTAAGAATAGCTGATAAATGAGCTAAGCCAGGTATGGCATAGACCATGCACACAAACACCTAGTGACTGAAAGCTGCAGTCTCTTATTTACCCTTCAGGTTTCACTTTAGGAAAAAAAAATCCGGTATTCTTCTCTTAAAACAATGAATCTTGGTTTTCAGAGGGTACAGATGAGCATGGAAGAACAATCTCTCTCTTGCAAGGAAGTTAAAATTTCTCAAGTTGATTACCTTCAATAGCCTTTCAAGTAAGGACTGCTCTCATTACAAGCATTACAAAATATTTAATGTTGCCTTTAAGATTTTATGAAACCAGAATAGTCTTAAAACACTCGTAAGTTTTTTAAGCCTCTTTTAATATGGCTGAAAGCCTGAACCTGTTCATGACTTAAGATTCTCAGTTGTTCCCTGATCTAGCAGCAGTAGGAAATAGGAAAGTGGCCACATTGACAAATACTCCAGAATACTGGTGTCAGTTCATGTAGATCACTGACCAAAGTGACTAAATACAAGTGAGAACATTGCTGCCTGAAAGTTAGTGCCATACACATACCTTTGGATACTTAGTCACTTTTTTCAGTGCTGTTCAGTATGCCAGTACTGGGAGAACAAGGGCCTAACAACCTGGCTTTTTGTGCAACAGGAGTAGCATAACGCTTGGTTAATAAATTGCCTGTGTAACAGATAAATTGAGACCAAAAAGTTCTGTCTTTCTGAATCCTGAAAATGCACTTCAGGCAGAACAGAACTGCTGTTTCACACCATACACTCCAGAAGTTGTTACTTTCTGAGAAGTTTGTAGGAAGGGTGTATATTGTGCCATTGTTACAGGAGAAAAGAAATTGAATGTTAAAGAACATTCCTTGAACTTGTGGCAGTATTACATATCATGCATAGATTTGTTTTAATGTGTATGTGTAGGTATGCTTGCTTTTTAGTATGTGTATACCTGACAAGTTACGCAAGTAAAGACTTTTATTGACAAATATAGTAATGCAAAAATAAAAATAGTTGTGAGAGAACGATTATGTGTGAACCATATAGCAGAAATGCTGAACCTATGTGTGAATAAGTTACTGTAGAAAACAAAATCTGGTAATGTTTAAATGCATCTCTGTAAAATGGAAAAATGTTTAAGGAAAAAGTAAATAATCTGATATAAACATAAAAGCACCAGCTAATGTAGATTGAAAGAACAGCTTTCAATCTACAAGTAGGTTGTTGGTATTGTGCATATGTAAACTCATATACATATGTAAATCGTCAGTATTCCAACAGGGAACCTCTTCGCAGTGCTACTTGCTGAGGATAACCAGTATCTAGAGATGATAAGAAACTAATTTGTTAAGCTTCTTTAAATGAGGGAACAGAAGACAGTGAAAGCAAAGACTCTTTAATCTCTCACTGCTTAATGGACTTTGCTCTTACTCCATAGCCTTATATAGAATACATGTGTATAAAGACCCGCCTTGGAGAAGGGGGCAAAGTATAACATTATTCATAATAAAAGAGTAATCACTGATATCATGATAAGTTGTTTGAAAACGTAATTTGCAAACATGAATGTGGCTGTCTAGGGGAAGGTATATGGGGAGTTGCCTTGACAGAATTAAAATTTTCACTATTTTGCATGGCCTCTTTGATCTCTGATACAGAACTTGAGAAAAGAGTAATTGTATTGAGAGGTTAAAACTATAAAATGCAGTCTGAGTCAGAGTTACAATAGTTACCAACATGGTGAGTTGTATGCTACCCTACCACGCACCTACTCAACTCCTCAAATGTTGTTATAATCAAAGAAGTTTGATAGTCTGATATGGTGTTTCCCATTCTGAAGCTGGTACTCCTCTCAGAGAATTAGAAGTGAGAGCAACTCAGCTGATGGCACAGGATGACTGAGCCCCTGCTTGTTCTCTTGGGAATGCTATGTTCACTTGGCTGATGCACTTTGCTGATCATTAATCATTCCTCTTTCAACTTTCATTTTAACAGACTGTACATAAACAAGGGGGAAAGACTGAAGTAAAAAAGAGTTGCAAGATGAACGTTTGTGCTTCCTAAAGCCCATTTCTAACACCAGGTAAGTTTTAATGGCTCGGAGCATTTACTGGTTTTAGTAGCAGCATGGAATAGGATTAGCTTTACTTTAGTACAATTAATTCTTGTATTCTATTTCAGGTAGAGGATTGATTGACCAGCTGCTGTATTTCCAGTGGGCATGAGTAAAGCAAGGCTGAAAATAGGCAGTTAGTGGAACTGGGTCAAAATAAAAATGCCCTCCTCAAGCAAGCCCAGCAGTTGTGGTTTTAAAATAGTCTTTCTCATTGTGAAATTAAAATTAAAATATACATTTAATTGAAATGTTTCGATTTGGACTCTTCCCAACTTAAAGTATCAATAAAAAGGAGTTACAAAACTAAGCGAACAGCACCCTCCGTCCCTATCAGCAGAAGAATCTCACTTTTTGAAGAGCTTGTCGGGTGTCTTGTGGCCCTCCATTGTATTCCAGTACACACCACAAATCGTACAACACATACAACCAGAAACTCAAATATTCATTGCTTCATGTTAAGGCTCCTGTCTAAATTATTTCTTGTGCTAAATTAACAGTCTTTACTGCAAAAAGGTTTTAAAAGGTAATGAAAATATTTGTGCTTAAATGGGTTACAAAAGCCATAAAACCTTCCTGTAAATGAAAGCTCTTATAAACAAAATATCGAGTCCTATTTAAAAGAACTGTTTCATGTTGTTTACACTGCCAAGTTGCTGATAGTGCATAAAGTTGTTCTCTTAATAATGAGTTGGTTAGAGCAACGCCCATCATCCAAAAATGTGTTACCTTGTAGGCGATCTATATTTTAATCAGCTGATGAAACAGATGTGGGAGGATTGTCATGAGTTGTTTCTGAAATCTGAGAGAAGCAAATACAAACCTATGGGAAAAAAAAAGCCATTGAGTTGTCTTCTTACTTTTTACCTGACCAGGAGAGATCAATTAGAAATGTAAACTTTCACAGAAGTGAAAGTCCTAATTTAATAACTCAAATTGATTAAGTTGTTAAAATGACGTTCTACACAATGTTTTACTTAAGCAAAACCAAAAGCTTGCTGAGTGCATCCATAACATGGAAACCTCCATGCTACCTAAAGACAAATCAGGATAAACTGTACTCACAGCAACAGCTGAAATGTCAGATTTAAATTACAGGAATATAGCAAAATCTAGGTCACTTCAAGGAAGGGGAACTATGGAAAGAACCCTTAAATTTTACGGCAGAAAGATATGTGCTTATAAGTCTTTAACTATATTTAGCCAAATAACATGGTATAAAAGAGAAATATTTAGGTCACAATATGGCAACAACATGTTTCAGTCACCCCTTTTGGATACTGGAACAATGTGGCCACAGGAGCATGAAGCAGGTTAAATTGTCCCTGTTCCAGTTTCCGTGACCAGAGTGAGGCAGCTATTTCAATCTATGTTCTAATCTATGTGTAGCTATAACATACACTGACCAAAGAACTGGCTATCAATTACACTTGTAACTTTAAATTCCTATCATCCTTGGCCACAGAAATCTTACAGCAGTTGAATAATGTGGAGATGCTAATGCATGGGAAATTAAGTAGACCTTGAAGCATTTTTTCTTTTTGATAGGTTATTAGGTAGAAAAAATAGTCTATAAAACCTATATTAGATTTTATTTATGGATGTTAAGAACTTGCCCCCTTATTTTTAGTGGTTTTATATAGTTTTTAATTTTTTTTTTTTTAGACAAATTCTGAACACTTTTCTGTGCTATTGGCCTAAGGAATTCAGATTTTCTTTAAAGACAGACCAGCTGTTTCTAGGACAGATTTTTAGTTATGTACAAGTGTAAGCAAAGATAAATAAATGCCCACATCCCTGTCTTCCTCTTCCTAAAGATCCAAGGTACCGACGTTTATTTTAAAGTATGTCACAATCGCAGCTCCTTTATCTCCTTTAATAAAGAGGATTGTTCCTTAGGCAGTCTGTCCAGGGGAGGGAAATGCAAATTGTTGCTTTGGAACTGAAATTTCCTGCTCCTTGGTCCTAATGAATGTAATATCTTTCCTTGGCATGAAATTTCAAAGTATCTAGCTCTGCAGATCAGCTGTTCTGTACTATGTTCCACATGGCTGCAGGCCCTTTTCCTTTATCAGTTTTCTTAGAGCATCACTGAACTATAAATTGGAACTGGCAGCATAATATAAATATCACTGATTACCAGAGGACTTCTGCAGTATCGTGAAGAGAGGAAAGTTTAGCATCGTCTTTTGTTATTTATTTTGTACTAAATGCATCGTTGGATACATTTCTGGCTGTAGCATACAGTGTTGTATCCTTGAGTTATTTTTTTGCAGTCAGTATTTGGGAAATGATGACTGGCAATGTTTCATTAAAATGAGGCTTTCACTCTTTAGCATGCTGAATAAGGTCTTTAATGGATAGGAGAAAAGTTGCTCAACGTGTTTGGTGATCAAACAAAATCTTGTGCATAGTATTAATTATCTGAAACAAAGTAAATTGACTGTTAAATAACCTCAATAACTCAAACAGGAAAATGGTTAGAACAAAAGAGTGACTTCTGCTTACACTGCTGATTATTTCACTTCATAGAATGAAATACAATCTGTTGAGCTTTGGAGTTGTTGAAGACACTGACAGCCATCACAAAGTGTCCTTATAAAACAAAGTAATTGTATTCTGTTTTGTCACTCTGTGTACTGTTGTTATACTATAATACAAAGACTGTTTTTCCCCTCTGCTGGTATAGCAAAAGTAGGTGTATATGTGCATGTTCCTGGACAATTTTAGATTATAAGTTATCCTAGCTGTTGATAATTAGATGCAATTCTTAAGTGTAGATTTTTCTGTATGTGTGATAAACCAGAACAGTATGTTCCAAGGATTCCCATTTCTTTTTGAAGGGTATAAACTTCAACTGGTTTCACTATTAATTACAAGGAAACTACTAATGGGATAAGAGAGTTTCCCTTCAAAATCAGTCACCTTATAGTCTGATCAATAGTTAATGCCAGTATAGTAAATTATAGTCTTTGAAACATACCCTAAGGTCTGATTAACCCTTTCTGCTTGTTGAATTTTCTTACTGTAACTTGTAAAGAGAATTAAAATTCTCAAATCACATAAGAAACAGTTCCAATCCAATCTTGCTAGCATTGCAAGGTACCTTGCTAGAATACACTTAAAATAAAATATAATACAGCAGATAAAAGTCATTGTGGATGAGTATATAGCAATGCTTATATGTGCTATATGAAATGATGGGCACTGAGCAGCCTATTAGTGCTCTAGTGCAAGACTCCAGTCATGACAGAACTCCAGGAAAACATCAGATTAGTAGCAGTCAAAAAAAGGTAAATCCAACATTAGAAGCTATTAATAATAGAGAACAAAATAGTAAACATCATTGCACCATTGTATAAATACGTGATTTTTCCACATCTGGAATAATGTGCAATGATCTATTAGAACTGGAAAAGGGTCATGGAAGGGGTATTAATCAACCATGATATACAATAACATTTCTATGAAGAAGACTGAATAGGGCTGCTGGTATTTTTTTCTTCTAGCCTGGAAGAGAGAAGACGTAAGAGAGATAACGTTGTACAGAAGAACTAGGGGGCTGTTGAACTAAGAGTCAGAACCTAAAGGAGGTTCTTCATGCAACAGTAACAGATCTGCTGAAGTTCCAGAGGACTTTGTGTGCATGAGAAGCTTACATGAATTCAAGTAGTGTACTGAGAAGTCCGTGGATGTGAGACTGGAAGTTATTGGTGAGAAAAAAACATCTTGTCCTTATGAAATACCCACAGTTGAAAATAGTTGGTGAGTGGGAAAGTACTGAGTGAGAAATGTTACACTGGGTTGTCCTCTTCAGACACTTCCGGAAAACACTGATGGTTCTTTAGCATCTGCATCTGTTTGAGATCTAGATTGCATCTTGATCTGAACTGTCATAGGTGTTCTTATGTTTTTAATTGAAATATAAATAGCCAGGTGGTGCTTTCCTAAAGCAAGATCAAGGTATTTCCTAAGAGGTGGGCTTTTTTCTTGGGTTTTGTAGGGTTTTTTGTTTTTTTCCCTCGTGGGAAATAGGGTATGTTGTGATTGCAGAGGCACAAACCAGAAGGGCGAAGATTCAGGCAGTACAAAGAACAACCTGTCACCTCCTCTCTCAGAACTCTCTATCCTGAAGTTTCTGGGGTAATGTGGCAGATGGGGTGCCAGGTGCCACAGAGCTAACACTCCCTCTACACTAGCTAGGTTTTCCCAGGTCAGATCTTTGCTAAAATACTCATCCGGTTTTAATCCTTCCCAATTGTCTCCTGGTGGCTCCTCTATAATCCCCTCTACCCCAGTGTGTTTGCATGGTACATACACAGAAATGTACCTATCAGGAGGTTCAAGCAGGAGATCAGAGACCCTGATGTTCTGGAGTTTTTTGTATGCAGAGCACCTGCAGTTGTTTAATGAAAGAAGAGGTATTAGAGGACAAAAGTTATTCTAAAGTGCTGTTTTATTACACAGTGTAGCTGCTTTGCAGTCAAAGATCACATTCTCTATTTCCCCAGGTGTCAGGCTGTGTTTGCAGAAGAGTAGATTTAACTTCACTGTTTATAAGTATTTACATTCTTCCCCCTTTCCCTGACCAGTCACTTCTCCATCCTTATATATTCATATTATAAGCAAAGTCTGATTTCTTCTGTCCAATTCATTCTGCCTCTGTGCTTCCAGAAAGGTATTACTCTGTATTCTGCTTCATGACAAATGTTACCTACATATCCACAGAGAACTAAGGGCAGAAAGACAGCTGAGAAGCAAAAGCTTCTGTCTTCTGACGCTCAAATGAGAAAGTGCAGTCTGCCTGTACAAGCAGTTTCATGTAAGGCAGGCTCACGAAGCCTGACCTGCGTATGATAAGCTATGACTGTAACCAAGTAATATTTACTATGAACATACAACTTCTGATTTAACAGAGCTCAGCTTCTTAAAAGACAATGATCTATTTGTGATTTAAACAGCAGGTTCTAGACACTACCTGTCTTGTCTGAAAATATCTGGCTTCATCTTTATAGGCAATGAATGGTGTTATGGTTTGGTTGGTTAAACAAGAGCAGAGCTCTGTAGCCAGGTTGTCCCAGCCATTTGGAATGAGGAGAGAGGCAGTCTTGTGTAAATTCCTTTCTCTGCTAGGTGTTGTCCCATTATCAGCACAGTCTGATCCAGATAGCCCAGGGTTAAGAGGTTAATACGAACAAAGGGACTGCACTGGGCTATCTGGAGCAGTGTCTGCAGACAGGCATCTTCCACCAAACCTCAAGTGCATTATAGCTGTTCCTTCAAAGGGAGGATCAGAAAACTGAAGCCTCTGCTTGCCAGCTGGCTCTGACTTGCTCTTCAATCTCTAATGCGCTCCTTTCACCTGAAAGCAGATTTTTATCTCTGCCTCATCAAGTTGCTTATGGGGTACAGCTGCCTGCCAGTTTGCTGGCTCCTTAACCCTCTCTTCCTCAAACCCTTCAGCTTCCCAACACCATATGATAAATAATTTAAGTATAGACATCAGAATACATTTCCTATAGTGGTCTTCCCAAATGACTATTTTTCTCTCCTATTTTATACCAAAATACAGTTTTATTCCTCCTAGCCACAGTTGTCACAGCAAGAACTCATACTGAACAGGTAGTGCCCTACAAGATAGAGAATGCAGTATCATTCTCGGTTCGAGATGTACACAAAACTTTGGTCACATTAAAATTCAAATGCTTTGTTTGAGGCTCCTTTCATTAAGTGGTACAGATCACTGTGCATATATTACTTACTGTTATTATTTATGACTCCAATAATCCCCACCACATCTATAAAGTTTTGCGGAAGTTATTTTGTATTTGTATTTCCATTACAATGGGATGACTTAGGGCTCGCTTTCTGCTGACCCTTGTAAGAAATTTCCAAGGCACTGTTTATTAAACAGGGTACTGTACTGCATGCAGGTAAGAGTCTCGAGCTGGCTAACCAACAGTGTTTTCCACATTCTATATGCTATAGCATTTTTCTTCCCCTGAGGAGTTTTACAGGAGTTTCTGTAATTTCCTACTGAAGATAAACCAGTATCTTATGGTTTGTGTCAAATAGGGCATTGGCTGTTGTACCCATGTTTCATTGCTTTCTAAGAGATGGTCTTTTCTAAATTATTTTGTGAGAAGCCACCAATAGTTTTTTCAAGCTGGTGAACTGGCTTTAAGAGAATGTAGGTTTTCTTTGCATACAGTTCCTTTGAAATCAGCAGATTTACCTCTAATGCATTTTATATACACGTATATGAACTAGATTCTCTCTTTGGGTTTAATGCCTCCAGGAAAAGCAATACTCTTTATAGCTGATGAATATCTCTTTAGTACCTTAAAATACTGAATTGCTGTAGGACCTCATCCTAAGATTGATTCATAGCTGCCCAACTGCCTGTTGCACAGATTTTGTTAGCACTTTTTAATTTCTGGGACAGAGCGTGCAGTGAATGGCCAACGTAATGCCACGTAGAACAATGCAGCTGGTATTGCTCCATTATGTCAGAGGTGTTTTGCTGTAACATGGTCCTTTAGAAACTTGTGACTGTATTGTGTGACTTTAAAGCATAGTGAGCATGTAGGGGGAAACAAAAAGACAAAATTAAGAATCTGAGGTTTATTATTAAGGGTAATATTAATTGCACAAGATTCTACAATTATGTTATTGCTACATTTCCTTGCCGAACCATGTTAACTTCTCAGTTAGGGCTTGCCTGATGCAGCCAGAGCAACCCAAATCAGAATATGCTGGATTGAGAAACCAACTGGAGTTTCACATTCTTCTGCACGGACTTCGGGTAAGCAACGAACTCCATCCTTTCCACGTGAGCGTTGTTGTCCATCTGTAACGATGGGTCCGGTTGCCCAGGACTGCCTGTCCTGGGCAGAAATGCACGCACTGAGGAAGCGGACGCGTGTCGCAGAGCGCTACCGCTGCGGGCAGAGTTTGCTGCACGGGGGGAAGGCGAGGGAGGGCTCCTGCAGATGCGAAGTGCTCTGCGGGTAGGTTCACAACCTCCTGAGAAGTATTTGAGTAATTAAGTAGCAGATAACTATGTATTTACACTCCCGCTACACACGCTGTCAACACATTCGTAACAACGGGCATCCTTACACAGCGTTACGCTGTATTTTCCCCTACTTTCTCCATTAGCGAGGTTCCATCACGGTGCTGTACCCGAAGCCTGGAACCCAGGGCGGCATCTGCTCCTCCAAGTCCTTCTCCAGGCAGGACCCGAAGGCGGCAGAGGAAGGTGCAAAGCAGCCGTGGGACCCCTGCTGCCACCCCAGACCCGACCCGTGCTGTGCGAGAGGCAGGCCCCTGCTCCCGCGCTGCTGCTCCCGGCCCGCCCGGGTGCGTTCCCGGCTGGCCGCCTGCCCGGCGAGGGGGCGGCGGCCGCGGGGCCCTGCCACCCGGAGGTGTGTCCCGCCCTAGGCGCGGCTCCCGCAGGTACTAATCGCCGCGCTGCCCCGGCTCCCTCCTGCACTGCCTCCCGCTTCCCGGAGCCCGCGGCCGGGATGTACGGGGGGCAGCAGCAGCTGCAGCCCCTCACGCTGCCCCCGCACCTCCAGCAACAGCAGCAGCAGCACCACTACTACCGGCGCCAGCAGCACTACAGCACGCTCCCCGCCCCCCGGCGGCCCCTCTCCTGCCCGGAGCCGCTGCCCCGGCCCCTGCCCTGCCGGGACCCGCCGCCCTGCCCGGAGCCACCGCCGCCGCCGCGGCCGCCGCCGTCCCGGGACCCGCCGCCCTGCCCCGAGCCTCAGCGGCCCCTGCCGTGCTTCGATCCCGCGCCCCACCAGCAGCAGGACGGCAGCGTGGCGTACGACCGGGTGCGGACCTACGGCCCCGGCTGCCGGAGAGTGAGCACGTCCTGCTCCTCCCGGGCGGCCTCGCCGCTGGAGTGCTCGCACGGCTACCAGCAGGTCATCGCCGGCTGCGACCCGCCGCAACAGGTACGGCGTGCGCCGACGGGCTTCCCTTACCCTGCTGCCCCTGACCTGTCTGCGCTGGTGTCCCGTTCCCGCCGGGGCTGGGGTTGGTGTGAAGCCAAAGCCCGCCCGGGGTGCAACAGCGGCGCCGGGCCGCGAGCCAGACACCTGTGTGCCGGCGGGCACGGAGGAGCGGGGAGGCCGCGGGGCTCCGGGGTGCTGCACGGCCAAGAGGAGGGTCAGGACGGGATCGCCGGGGAGGGGGAGTGAGGCCGGGCCGTGCGGAGTCGTCTTCCTTCAGATCTAGCGGGGGGGACTCGTCCGTGCCCATGACTGGCTCCAGAAACACCCGCCACAGCACCCCGTGTGGGCACGGCCGCTCCTCCGCCTCGGCTGCGGCGGGGAGGCCCGACGTGGGCCCCGCTCCCCTGAGGGTAGGGCCAGGCCCGGCCGCGCCCTGCGGCCACCCGGGAGCGGAACGGGTCATCCCCAGACCTCCCCGGGACCTTGCCTTTAGCTCTTGCCTCAGGCGGGCGAGGAAAGCTTCGCTTCGCACAACCATAACCCGTTTGAATCTAGAACTCCTAGCGTGAGTGTCCCTTTAAATTTCTCCAGTTTGATTGTCAGTCCCGTATTTGTTTCCTGTTAGTTTGATTGTCAGTCCCATATTTGTTTCCTGTTTGGCAAGTCCAGTTCGCATTTACTTTTTAATTTGAACCCTTAAACACCTTATTCTGTTGCGATATTTTTTTCCCGTTTTGTCAATGGGATGCTAACACTCAGGCCCATGCTGCTGCTCCTGCAGGCTGGGTACTCCTGTTCCACCGACGGGATGTGCACGAAGCCACTTACTTGGTGGTACTTGTGTAAATATAATATAAAGGCATGTGTGCTTAATGGCTGTGTTTGAATCAATGATGCTAATAACCTATGCGACTGTGCAGGTAGGAAATACGAGAGTTCATTTAGTTCTGCTTTAAGTCTGCACAATGTAGTTCAGCAGGTTTGGTGCTGGGTGCATGTTCAAGGAATGGCTTGAAGGTATTAATGGAATTTAATGTAATTTTAACGTGTGTGATTTGGTATCAGAGCTAAATCTTAAAAATAAAACTAGAAACCAATAACTTAAGAACTGCTTTAAGTATAAAACCAGAAAAGATCAGAATTTATTCTTACACCGTTTTTTCCTCTCGTACATCAGACAGTTGGTAGAAGTGGAGCTGGTGTGTTGTACTCGTTATACTCAATATGGCAACACATGTTTGTTTCGGGTTATACTCTCATTTAATTTTCTTTCCTGTAGTATAAAAATATTTATCTATGAAAAACGGGGATTAAGGTCAGTACAAAATCAGATTTCCTTTCAAAGCCATACTCATGTAGTTCAAGGGCTGCCTGCCTCTCAGGATGCCTTCTGTAGATTCTGGAAAGTGAGCCACTTCACTAATTGCTTTTATAGAGTTGGATATGACAGGCACAGTCCTGCTGTATCAAAGCTGCTAATCCCTCTTTTGCAGGATGCAGGGCAGGAGTGTAAACACTGGTCTCTCACCTCCCAGATAAGTGATCTGCTCAACTAGGCTAGATGATAGTCTGAATTGCATTCAATTAATTAAATATTCATTAGAATAAATACTGCAGTCCCAGGCTTCCTCTACTTATCTAAGTACGTGAACAATTTGATTATAGACTCAACTGCTGTCTCTGCTCTATGAAGTATGTTTAATTTTCAACATCTGTTTTAGTCACTGAATCCATTAAGTCGTGCTAATGAAAAATAATTTGCTGAAGTGTTTTACTGGATTAGACTTTAAAGACAAAAGAGGGTGTAGTTAGATCAGGCTGTGGGTTGCAGTTTTAATGGTGGAGAGGGAAGGTGCCTCATAGAGATTATTAGGAAGTTATTAAAGAAGAAAACAGCAAATAGGGAAGTTGGCTGGGAGTAGGCAAGTTGCATACTTGGTGCTGAATGGGAGTTGTCAAAAAGAAGTGCAGGGAGGAGTACAGGAAGCTTCAGTTGCCCTTTGAGCACATCACAAATAGCTGCATAAACTGAATAACATGATGGTACCAGACTCACACACGGGTTTAAGTGAACACTAGAATTCTCAGTTTATGGCAGCCTAGAGCTGTAGTTTCAGCTTCTTACCGTTGATAAGGTGAAGAGCAATCTTTGAGCAATATTTAATTTACTTTTGCAGAGCTATAGTAGGTTAATGATAACAAATGTCTACATGACTGTCAATACACTGTTGTCTTATTTAGTCATATGATGTGTTCTGGTGTGCTTTGTGTATGTTTGTAATAAGCTAGAGGGAGGGAAAATTTGAAACTGGCGTGTGCAAACAGTACACGATTGTATTTTTTGTAGTAGGATTCAGTTTTCTTTACTTTTTTGGTCTAACTTTGTTTTATCCGTGATGTAGAAGCCAAATGCTGTTCCCAGCCATGACAAGCTTCATCTGGAGTAATTCACGGCAAATTTTTCTCTCATCTGCTTGATCTAAGTGAGGAATGTTGTTTAGAATAAATTCTCCTCTAGCATGGCTTACCCGTATGACCCCTTTCAGTGTGGTCATAAAAGATGATGCATGAAATGGCACACGCAAGATGTCTGCTGTCAGTGCAGAGGGCGGAATCCTGAAAGCCTTCGTAGGAGTTGTCTACCCATGTGAGAAAATCTGTGAGCAAGATCTTTTCATGGCTGGGCTCTGTTCTGTGAAGGGCTCTCGCCTCCCATTGTGGAAATGGTATAATATTAACCAGCTTGTAAGATCTGTATTGTTGGAAACAGCCCTCAAAGGTAGCCTGCCATTTCCCTATTTCAGCTGCCAAATGTGACTCATAAATTCTGATGGGATTGCTGGTAATTAACAAGACAATATGTTATGGGTGAAAGGTTTTGACGTGGATTAAATTCTCACCTTAATTGTTGGTTTGTCTGAAGCTAAGGGGAACTTGTTGAAATACGACTTAGTGTACTCATTTGGTTTTGTATAAAACGTGTACACAATAACTGGATAAATCTGTGGAATGCTTATTTTAAAATTGAAATATTTAAAAATCTTAAAGACTAACAAAAATCGTTATTAAAGTATTAGCATATACGTTTTGAAATTATCTTTATAAACATAGGCCCAGATCAGGCTGCTGAAAATCCCAAACCCAGTCACTCCGCTGAAATCCACAGCAACACTGTTATGCTGGGCTTTCCACTTCAAAATCCCAGCCTCCTCTTCCTTCTCCCAGTTGCACAACGTTGCATCTCTGTAGTGTTGTAGGGAACTTGAGAGTAGCCTGAACTGTGCCCCTTGGGAATGATGGAAAAATGGAAACAGCCCAAGGTCATCTTCAGTGGCAGTGTACCTCCTGTGGCACACTTGTTGCTCCAGAGGCCTCAGAGGTGGCATCTCCTGGTGAGGAGCAAGGGACTGTGTGTGGGTACTTCAGGCTGGCACAGTCACAGGCTTCTCGGTTCTCTCCCAGCCTATGCAGGTCCAGCCTGCTTGGCTGGTAAGGGAGGAAGGGCAGGCAAATCCATGTTTATGAGGGAGTGAGGGAAATGTATCTGCATCAAAGTCCTTTGGAAATGAGAGTTTGGGTATCTTAAAAATAAGCATGATTTTATCCAAGCAAAACATTGGTCCTATGTAATATTCCACATATGATTAGACTATCCTTTTGAATATTATAAAAGCATGTTTTAACTTAAAATGCTCTGGTCTTCTCAGTTCTGAGTGTATTCCTCTGAGAACACATAGGTAACTAGATAAAATAGCTTTGAGCATTATCCTCTCTAAACTAGACTGTGTGAGTTACATATTCCAAAGCCCTGTGGCAGGAGGATTTAGTTCAGGCAGGTTTGTCCAACTTTTCAGCAGATTGAAGATGTGTCTTTTGATTTCGTGCACAGTGCTCATCTTGTTTTCATGTGCCATACCATAGTACTCAACTCTGAATAAGAACTGTTACCACTCTCTCACGATACTCATGTCGCAGCACTGGAGTGCTCCAAGATGACGCCTTCTGTGAAACCGATGTGAAGGAAGCACCAGTGGGCATTCATTCTTTTTAAGTGTTTTTAGCTCTAATTCTGTAAGTGTCTCAGTGATGCAGGGGTTGGGCTGTATGTTCTGGACCTCCCTGATGTTTCTTTTTGGGGTTATGTCCTGATACAGAGAGTTCTGTTGGCGTTGGTGGGTTCCTTCCCTTGACAGACCCACCTCAGGTACATGGTGTCTTGGGGAGGCAGCAAGCAGCTTTCCAAGTTCTCTGCAGCAGTTATGATTTTAAGATTTCTTAATTAGTGTGATTGCTGCTGAAACAGGTTCTTTTCCACTTTGATTTCTCTTTCCTGGTGCTGTTATGATTCACTCTTGGGAGATTGGGAAAACCACTTCAGACTTCCTAAACTGCAACAGTTCACAGCTGGAAACTTGACCTACTTCAGAGGTGCTGTTATCCAGTTAAGAATGTCTCCGAGACTGAACTGCAGCAGTATAAACTTTCCAAGCACTGTCCATGGGTTAAGGGAAGAAATTATTATTATGAAAACTGGAAGTTTGTGTTGTGGGGAAGAATAACTGGTGTGGCGTGAACTAACAAATGGCCCAGTCGTTAGATTAGATTCAGTGGGAATTTTGCTTACTTGGATGAAGAAATGGATGTGGGGATGTCAAGCAACGTGCACAATTTGGTACAACGTGGTAGTCCACAAAATGGAAGATAGTGTCTGTGATTGCTTGTAGCCAGTGCTGGGGGAAAAAGTGTCAAAATCTATTTGAAAATGAACCAAACTGCTGTCACTTACAGATCCCTGTAATGTAAAAAGACATATTTCATTTCTAATTGAAGAATGTGCAAAATGTTCCATGTGGGCATCTTTCTTTTCATAGGTGTCAATTGTGGAGTTTTGTGACCACTTTTAGAAGCAATTGCCACTGCTGGGTGCATTCGGTAGTGGCCGATGGGATAGGCTGGCAGTGCCTCAGCCCTTTCAGTTTGGTGTTTAAGCAAAATACAGATTTTCTTCCCTTATTGAAACGAAAAAAAAGAGTGTTTAAGGTGTGCATCCATTTATAGCAGCTGACCTTGATATGTAGCTGTAAAGACTGTCAGTAAAAGGCAGTGGCTGTGGAACAGGGACATGAGATTCTTGAAGACCTAGTCCAGTATGCCAGCTTTGATTTGTTTCCTGTTCTGTTGGCACTTAGAGAAAATAAGGACTTAGTCCCTCAAACCTGCAGAGAGATGAGTGAGAAAAACCAGACTCTTAAAACTGAGAGTAACAGGTTATGTACTGCCACCCTGTAGGGTGTAAGTACACCTGGCTGTAAAACTTTCTAGGCGATTTTGGCCAGTGGATCTCTGTGTTTATAGCAGTAAACACAGATGACAGTATTCAGGTTACTGTGGAATCCACATAAGGCTGAGCTCTGAACATAAAGATGTTTTAGAGGTTAAAGTGCAATCATCACAGAATCTTTGAATTTCTTTCTCGCAGGGCACTTTTCGAAGGATTATTATTGAGAATCCTGATCAGGTAAGAAAACTGTTTCCTGCTGGAGTTCTACTTGTGTACCTCTTCCTTCCTTAGTCACCCTGATCTGGTGAAGTGTTCAGCTACGTCCATCAGGGGATGCTAAATATGTTGAAATACATGGCCCATACCGCTGATGGTGAGAGATTAAATTATAGGGATTGAAAACACTACAGAATTGCTAGTCAGGCTTCCGAACTGTCAGCAGTGAAGTCTCTTAACATGCTTCAGTAATGTTGCTAGCGGAGATGAGTTTCTAAGTGTTTCTACTATGCTTATTTCAAATATTGTCTAGGTGGAAGCACAGTCACTTTGTTTCCAAATGGACGTACACTCAAATGCACATATCCTAAAGAGCTACCTCAAAGTGTCCATGTCTTCAAATCACAAAAAATCCCTTCTCACGTTTTAGTCAAAATTGCATTAATCCTGAATTTTCTGTTTGATGTACATGAATGTTTTAAAAAATGTTTTACAGGAGCCATTATCCCCATTTCTTAGAGGGGCAAATTTCTCTCCTGGAAATAATGTCATCTATGAAAAGACAATAAGAAAATATGAGCTATTAAATCCTCTCCAAGTAAGTTGGTTGTTTATATTACCTGATGCAAAAGAAAATTGCACTGGTAGCAGGAACATGATGCTTCTGGGATGGGGCTTTTTTGGGGTGGTTTTGGTAGGGTTTTTTTTTTCCTCGTTGAGGTCTAGGACACATTCTCAAAGCAAATGAAGCAGTTTCTGTAAGGAGAGCAGGAGTTGGAGTGTTGCTGTATTTTTACCAAGAATTTATTATTTCAGACGAACAATGAAAACTGCTGTTGTACCTCCTGTACTGTCAGTCAGATAAATCTGAAGATTGACTGGGAGTTAGTTACTTGACTGGGAGTTACTTGCAGTAGCTCCACAACAGAACCAAAAAAAAAAAACCCCAAAATAATTGAAAATACACATTATTTATTATTTGTTTTTACTCATTCTTGAAAAAATGTATTTGGCAAAGCTGTCTGAAATTTCATCTTAGTCCAACTGGAGTTCTCTTTCTAATCTCTGAAATACTTAATGAAACAGGATGTGTGATCTCAAGTAAATAACGGAGGTCCCCATTGCCTGAATATGGTAAGAATAATAACACGATGAAACAACATAGGAAAGGTCTCGTGCTTTTCATTTGCAGTCACTAAAATTTGAGGAGTTAGTGAATTACTGTTTGTAATTCACCAGTTTTGTTACAATGACAGTGTGAGGCAAAATCCTGTTCAGCTAGGAAAAAAAGCACATTTATCAGGCTTATTAAAATATGTGAAGCTGTCATTAGTTCTTCCATGCAAACCCACATTTCATTCATTTATATACTTATGTGAAGCTTCCATGTGATTAGGACAACGTCCATCAGCTTAAAACAATCCATTCTTGTTTCCAGGAGAAGCAGTATCAGTTCTCCCGCCAGTGCCAGAGTCCCCAGCAAGTGGAGCAGTGCCAGGCTGCCCAGCCCTGCCAGTACTCTGAGCAGTCCCAGGTCACTCACCAGTGCCAGCAGACACAGACCAGCAGCCCTTGTGAAGTAATTCCAGTCTCCGTCAGCGATGACTGCAGAGGAAATACAGTGAGGAGGGTGACAGTGCAAACCTGTGAGCCGGTAAGAATCACCTGCTGAATGTTCACAGTGTATTTTTGTTTTGTATGAAGAGTATAAAACTTTACAGATACATAAAATTGCTAATCTCCAATCTCAGAAGCTTTTGTTCATAGTAGGGTAATTAAGCACCATACAGCCATTGTAAGTGAACAGCAGAGTTCATGTGTCTGTTGCAGGTAACTTCGTTGTACACTGTGCTTGCAGGTGTTGTCTGGAAATGTCCAAGGCTTTGACAGATGATGTTAAGAGGAGAAAAGGGCTGCTTTAAGTGTTTTGTCTATTTCTTGTTGGCACCAAGCTGCACTTAGGAGTATTGACCAATCATTCTGTGGTCCTTTTAACTCTGTTAAGTCTTGCTGGTTTGTTTCGGTTTTTTCTTTATCTGGGAGTGTTACCCATTGATTTAGTCAGGTTTCATTAGTCCCTGTACAACAAAGACTGAATAATGTAAGGCTTAAGCCTCTAGTTTTGGAGAAAAAGTACATTAGTTTATAAACTTGACATACATCAATTCAAGATTGTTTCTGCCTAAACTGATCAGTAAGGACTTCAAATATATTTCAATCTGCTGTACGAGTATTTGACATAGATTCACAGTAAGCACAAAATTACCTTCCTCTGCCTTTCATTTTGCATGAGGTTGCAAGTTCTGGAGTTTCTAAGGGCTGCAGCAGGCTTGCTATACATGCGTACTGTTGTTTCAGTTGGGAAGGGAGTGTAGCTGTCCTTCCTGTGCACCTAACTCAATAAACAGGTGGCAAGACAAACATATACTTGGTGACCTCAGTGCTAAACCTCTGTGGAATCTTCCATAGCCAGATACTCCCATAAGCCAGCTTAGGTACACTCAGTTCTGGTTGCTGCTGGAATCCTTTTACTGTTCACATACATTAACATTTGGACTGTGGCAATACAAATGCCATTTGCACAGTGGGGAATCTGGCACCCAGCTGGGTTTATCTGGGTGCTGCCCACAGGCATTCATCCACTGCAGCCAGGGAAGCATGTATATTAATGAGATTTCCTAATTCTCAGCACTTTCCATATTAGCATAATGATGACACTGCTGCAGAAGATGCTACTCTGCGTATTTGTTGGTGGTGTAAAGGAAGCTATTTGTTTCTGTAGAGTTTACTGAAAACCAGAAGACATGGAAGACTCAATACCAAGGAAAAGAACAGTGTAAACAGATTGCTAATTGTTAAGAGCAAACAAAACCAAACCCTGTAGCATGTTCATGTTCAGCTTTCATCCCAAAGAAGGGAACTCAGTTGTGACGTTTTTGCATATCTCCTGCTAGGTGAACTGTGCTCAGGAAAATAATGACCAGCTGGACTGCCGCTACTTCGGTGAGCTCCTGGCTGAGCTGCACCGCAAGACCAACGACTTGCACAGTTGTTTACTGCAGCATGTAGAAAAGATAGGAGGAAGGTATTGGCATTATATCTGTTCTGTTATTCCCCTGTTCCCGAGAGCCTGCCATTGCACAGCTGAGAGGACAGTATTGTTTGCGAATTGTGGGTTTTTTTTCTTCCCTGATGAGTAGAATTAACTGTATTTTACACACTCATCTAATTTGCTGAGTAACTGAGGACATACAAATGCTGTAAGCCAAGTAAATGTATTGAATTTGATGCTTTCCCCAATTGGTTAGACTAATAGGCAGTAAGAATTACGCATGGCTGTTTGCACATAAACAAATACACTTAACAGCATTCTCTGACATACATTTAATGATACAATTCTATTCCTGTGTCCTGAAGAAACAACCCAAATGTCCAGATTGCCATTTCCTTTGCTGTGCCATGTTGTTATGTTATAGCATGGATTATAAGGCAGTCCCTATAAGGCATAAATCCACTGTGTTTATGCAAATTAAAGTTAAGCAGGTATTCTGCAGAGCCCTGCACATTGTCTTTAAGAAGAAACACAGCATCACAGCAGCCAGTAATCTGAGCTTGCACAAAGTTCTTACTTCTCCCTCACAACTACTAGTTCATTCTTCCTCCTCACTCCCAGTGTTGTTTGGTGCTTTCCAAGGTCACTTAAATAAGAAAAGTGGGGAAGAATGGAATTTAAACCACACACAGACCCTGACACTGCAATGTAAACAGTTCAGGCATGTCAGTATGTTGCAGCATAGTTCTGGGTAAACCATTACCCAGCCAATTAAGACTGTAATGGGATTAACTGAACACAACTGGGGTAACTACGCAGAGAAAGGAGGTAGCCTGTGTTAACTGTACTACTGTTAGCAGTCCAGTTTCCTCAGATAGTTCTATGTGGGGTTAGGTACCTCATATTGCCTAACACCTTAGAAGGAAGGTAACGGCTCTTAATCTGGCAAAGAACCTTCTTTGCTCTGTATTTTAAAGATAATCCTTGTACAGTTGTGAATGTGGACTTGAATAAATGTCTCAAGAAGCTTTCTGTTAATTGGTCCCTTCGATTTTGTCTGTTTTACAGGAACCATGACATTGAATTTACGTGTCAGGTAAGCATCAGGCATGCTCTTGGCAAGCTCTTCCCCAACAGTGTTAAAAGCAGTAGTGTGGATCCTGAAGCAAATTAGGCCCAGCCAATTTAAATGAAGGATGCTAGTCTTTGTCAGTTAATGATCCCTGCTTGTTAATAACATTCAGAGTCTGAATCCTACAGCAAGACACATATTTGCAAATGTGATAACACTGAAATTCTGGTAATTTGCATTATTCCAGTCTGAGAGTCAAATTCTGAAAAGTCTTTCCTGTTGTGCCTAATGGTTTCATTGTAAAACAAATTCTCACAGCCACACGTATTTTCACTACATGTGTTTTGCAAAGCAGCTTTCACTGTCTTGCCAGTAAAGCTGCAGCTCAGGAACACACGCTGCCTTGCTCTGCAAGGAGTGAAGACAGTGCCTCTCACAGGAACGAGAGGAATGTGAGCTGCCAGAACAGGCTTCCCATCTACAGCAAGCTTCCTTTTACCAGTCAGGCCACAACAGACTCATCGGCACCTCTGTTATGTTGTTAAAGGCATTGTGTGCACAGCAGAAATATTTGTCTAGGATGAAATCACATGAAGCAGTGTCTCCTGTGACAGGCTGCTCATCTCTTCTTTATTGACAGTCTGTGCAGGAGAAACGCAAGGTTTGCTCCTGTCCTCGACTGCTGGGAGTTCTGTTCTAGTGTCACCTCCTACTCCTGGAGAGGATTATTTTGAATACTGCTTGTAGAATAAATGTTACCCTTAGTGATTTGAATGTATGCTGCATGTATCACTTCATCTCGGGTTTTATCTGCCACACATATATATGGCTTTAGAAATTTTCTGGATACACTTTGATCTATTTTTGTTCTTATTTGCCTTGTACTAAAGATGTTTTTCATAGAAGAGCTGTGTAATTAATGAAGAACCCACATTGTGATCTTACAGGCAAAATTCTTAATCAAGATGTCTCCCCTTTCCTCCCTTCTTTGCTTAGACTGAAGATATTGAAGAATTAATTCCCAAAGGACTCTCTGAGGCAACAAAGCAGCAGATTCGTTATCTCCTCCAGGTACCTGAGTGGGGTGGAGGGTGTGTGTGGACGTCTGTAGTAACTTGAAACAATAGAAGTTGGCTTACACATACCAGGGACTTTATGTAACACACTTAACTCTCTATTCTTATTCACTTTTTCCTAGTGTAAAGAGCATGGAATCATACAGGTGGCTTCAAGTGATGTTGTAGCAGTTGGTTCCACTTGCTTACTTGCATATTTTAAACTGAGCTTTACTGGTGCTTTCTTCCAGTTTCTCTGGAAACCATCTTGGCTTTTAATCAGTCACAGGAGAACACAGACCTTTAATCTTTTCGTTATTACTGCTTTACTTTAAAAGCTAAAGGCAAGCAGTAGGTGCTGAACATTGTATTTGGTATTGGTTGCCAGCTACATACAATGCTTGTAACTCAGGTCTCACCTTTTACCAATATCCTGGTTAAAAACCCTCTAACAGATCGCGTTGTGCTGAGGCACACTTACGACATGCAGTAGCAAACCAGAACTCTTTCTGGCTTGGTTACATTTATAAAGGCTTTTGTTTCTTCAGATCTTGTTCTTTAGCTGCCTTACCATTACCTGCCTTTGCGATCACCAGCCACATTAAGGCAGGCAGATGAGTTCTGGTAATGGCTGCTTGTTTGTTGCCTCCTATCACTGTAGTACTCTACAGTATGGTGGTTAGTACAGCACTGCGGGTGTGTTTATACCTGGCCTCCCTGAGGTAAGGGGGATGTGTGCTCTGGCTTCACATCCAAGAAGGACTCTGAGTTCTGTCACACTGCTCAGGGAATGATTATGTGGGGTATGCCCAGAGGCTTATGTCTAGGAGCACAGAGAATTTCACTGTAGGAGTACATGCATGAATTTAGCAACCTCTGACACTTACTAATTGCTGAGTGGGGACTTCCTGATACTTTTCATAGCCTAAACTCAACCATTTTGACTTAATTTCTTCTTTTAGTCTACTCTTAGAGTGTATTTCACAATAAAACCAACTAAACTGTAAGTCAAAGCTGAAATTCCATTTTAATTAAATCCCGAACAAATGGGTGGGTTACACTGGAAATGTTATTTTTTTGACACTTTAGTCACATCATAGGGATATGGGGATAAAAAAGTAGGACATGGGCTCATCACTGTATTGATGGAGATCTTGATGGCTCTCCTCAGCCCAAATGATCACCAGATGAAGTGGAGGGAGAGAGTCAGAGGAAAGGAAACAGGCAGGAAGATTTCACTTTTGTCCAGGTAGTAGAAAAATCATTTGTTTGCCTGGAATGTTCAGCCCTTCCAGATGAGTCAAAACTTGGGGAATTCCTTTGTGTGTTCTTTCAAAACCTGTTATTATTCTTTCAAATATCAGAAGTGTGTCAGGAAACACAACTGTCTGTGTTTTAACGTGAATCAATACACAGCTGTTTATGTGCATGGAAAGAAAATCCAGGAACAGGGTTACGCCGCTGTGCACGACTGCCCCTCTTCATCCAGTCGCCTCCTTAATCTTTGGCATCTTTTTCCTTTTGAAGGGAGGAGTTGGTTGTATGGCTTTTATTTAGATTTTGTACAGTTTTAATTAAATTCTCTTGCCCCTGGCTGCAAGCGCTTGGCCAGATCTCGGGTGCTGCTGCTTCCTCTGTGCTTTCTCAGGTGGGGTAGAGCACTACTGCTACCTTCTTAGCATCCGTCACAAATGACCGTGCAATATAACACGTTTGTGTTTCCCTGTGTTGCTGTACAGATGCAGTTCTTTACTCTCATGTTCCATTTTAAAAACTTTACCCTGTGTTACAAGGCAGCAGTGTAAAACCTGTGCCCTTTGCAGAACAAACTGCATGAAAATGGGCTGCTTTGTAGCAACTGGGGGCACGCTGCAGTAGCTCCAAGAGTAGTTGTTTTCAGTTGTGCAGCATTTTCTGTTCTACCTCGTCAAGCATATTGTAAACAAAGCTGATCCATGAATCCATTTCCATTTTCCCCCTCCTAGATGAGAGTCACATCAGATAAATCTTTGAGACTTGTGCTTTCCACTTTCAAGAATCTACGTGAAGAGCTTTGCCACCTGCAGGATGACTTGGGGGTAAGGCACTTTTGGAAATGGCTGGTTCATTACTGGGCTTGCAAGACTCGCTCAGTGGATGGGGTGGATTTCTTTCTAGCAGTGGTCTTCAGCTGATCAGTCTGAAGCCTAAACCCACCAAATACTTTCAAAGAAATGACCCTGCTGAGTGAAATCAGATTTAAAGCTCTGAATTGTGATCCACACTGGTGTTGTGATGGAACTATAGTTTTACTTTAGACCTGGGCAAGGGGTGGACACCAAGTGGCTATTTACTAGCGCTGTTCCAGGAATCAGGGGACCTCAGTTCCATTCACCCTGACAGAGTTGCATTTCTCACCTTATTAGAAAGCTGGCGTCAGCTCGTGGCATTAACAGCTCCAGTGATTCACCTGGGTACAGGCTTCCCACCTGGAAGCTGGAGCTCTATGGCCACACATATGGTAGACAGTAGATAATTGCTGTTAGGAAAGCAGAAACCTTTCCCACACTAGCCCAAGTACTCAGCCCCACTGGAAACATGGAAATGCCAAGTTTAAGGAGGGGAGTTTTAACTGTTACCTTTAACAGAGGACAAGGAGTTTGTACAGTGAAGTGGTTTTGGATTGGGGTTTTTCATTGGTTTCTGTGATTCTGTAAATACCTGAGTAATTCTGTCTGGGGCAGACTGAAAGAGCGGGGTTCAGGATCCCAGTGCTTACCACAGCACACAGCCAGCTACTGTAAGTGTGCGATGTAGTTAAAAACCCCCATTGTTTCAAGAAAATGGAGTATTTTCTTAGTTACCAACTGCTCAGTATGTTTCACTTTGAATACAGGGAAAGTTTACTAAACAATTACAGCTATTGACATAAATGCTTTTGTCTTGCAGAAGTTAGAAACCGACAATGTGTTACTTAAGAAGGATTTGGCTTTTAAAGATTGTCAAGTAAAAGAGTATGAAACTATGCTGGCTTCTCTGAGAGAGAATAATCGTCAGCAGCAGGTAAGTCTAAACCCGTATTTCCAGTGTCATTAGTCAGCTAAAAACTAGCCAGTGTTTGGCTGTTGAGCATTCCAAGTAATTGGTGCCCGGTACCTGTTGGGGTGCGCATGTCATCTGTTACTTCCTTAAGGAACACTGTGCCCTCATCCCATTTCTGTGCTTTCCAGCAAGGACTCAGAGAGAGTACTGCAAAGTGTCGCTCTCTGGAGGAACAGCTCCTCTGCCTTCGGCTCAGTGAGGGAGAAAAGGATTGTCAGCTAAAGGAGCTGGAGTTCTGCAAGCGTGCCTTGGAGCAGGAGATTCAGAGCCTCAGGCTGCAGGTAACAGGCTCACTTGTTCTGTGTCCAGCAGCTGTTATTCACAGGTACAGATGCATTAATATAGGAAAATTAAAGATGAAAACTGTCTTTTAAAAATGAAATACAATCTCATTTTCTGCAGGCCTGCTCTAATCCAACCCTGCAGACCACCACGGATGAACTCTCCAGCCGTTACGTAGAGATGATCAATAACTTGAGGGAGGATAAAGATCATGAGATCCGCAGCCTTAGGGTAAGTTGTTTAGCTTGGCACGTGTGTGCTCCTCCCCCTGTACACCTGGAATTGAACAGCTTCACTTTAGATTAAGGAGTGGGAAAAATCAACCAGGTATCTTTTGGTTCAGCAATTTATACACACTCATGACAGTTCAGGAACCCTTATGGATCACATCAAACTGTGATGTAAAAATCAATACAGTTTCTTAGATGTAGAAAATAGGGATTAACCAGGTAGGAAAGATTGCCAAAAGGGACATTTTGAGTGTCCTGGTAAAGTAAGACACTAAAGAAGAGACACCGGAGAGAAAACAAAACTCCCAGCCAAACCCATAAGTAGGAAGTGTCTCTCACTTAAGTCCTTACAGTAATAATTTACCACCCCAGCAGCCAGTTCCACTGGTTAAGTGATGTATGAACCCCAGTTATAAGGCTGTTAAACTCATACTGGGTAGAACTCAGTCAGCATTTCTGGATTTACAGTGCAGCTCAACATTCTCACTTGACAATCTCTGGTTCTCACTGTTCATGGAGCTCATGAAAATTATACACCTGGAGCCCTGGATACTCCTGCCAGGTGACCTGCAAGGAGCTCCAAACACCTGACTGTCCCTCAACACGTGTTTTGCAGTCTCAGTTATGCCAATTCCAGCAAGACATATCAAGGAGAGAAGGAAGCAACAGTGACTTGCAAATACGGTTGCATGAACTGACATCAATGTTGGAGGAGAAAGATGCTTTTATTAAACAACAGCAAGAGGTAAAATAACACAAGATTTCTCTTTTAACAATTTCTGTATTTAAGCCTTTGCTTACTGCATAGGTGGAAGCATGCCAGAAGCCACCAGTGCTCTCCTGCTTTGGGAATCGGGGTTAGGATATTTACTGCTGTCCCTCTGCCAGACTTTTGGCAGGACAGACATTTCTGATTGCTCTTTGAGATGAATTTCTGCAAATTCTTTGTTGTGACTTTAGGGAATGCATCAGGAAACATGACTGCATCTGAATGCTTACTTTTGGTTTTCTCAGGACCTCTTCAGACTGAAGCATGAGAAGTTATCTGGCAGTCAGTCCCCTGCTGTAACTGCTGTCATCACCAAGAAGTAATGTAGCTATTAATGTTTCTTAAAAAGACCTCCTTTTGGTTTTCCCTTGTGGAGCCTCCATTACCTGAGTTATTCCTGCAAATGGCTTAATAGTGCCTATTCACCTTGAAGAGGGAAAAGTTGAGCTAGGCTTTCCTCTCTCCAGGGAGCATTCCATACTAAGCATTGCAAGAGCAATTGGAGGGGTGGCCAGCACATTTAAACAGCAATGTTTAAATGCCTGTATTGGCAGTTTAGTTACTAGTGGCACTCTGGGGGGATGTAGGACTGGAAGGCCAACACAATCGGAGTCTGTGACTTGGATATGGACATGTGGATTGCAGTTCACAGGTTTGCAACTCTTACCCTCACAGGTACAGGAATCAGTACCCTATTCTGGGACTCCTGTCTGATGACTACAAGGTTACATCACCTGTCAATAAATCACAAACTATTGTCATTGAAAGGACGGGAGAGATATGGAAACACGTAAGTTTACCTGAGGATTGACTGTTTGGTCTCTGAAATTCTTAAGTATTCAATTTAACTTCAAAGAAAGTATCAGCCAAAACTGACATCCAGGTCAACTGAACTTGGCTGATTAAAGACCAGGAACTGTCCTGTCTATTGCAAGGAGGCAGTAATTGGTGGGTGGGGTATAAATAAAACAGCCTTTTGTTGTTTTCTTGGACACATAATTACCTGTAACAAAAGCAGCAGCCCTGTCCCACACCAGGCTCTGCCCTCGCACGAGGCAGCCTTTGGGCATCGCTGTACCAGGAAGTTAGTTAGGTAGGAGCTTCTTCTGTGTTGTGCTCCCAGGGGAAGGAGTGTTTTGGTGGGCAGTACTCCTCTGAATCATGAGTACTAGTGACTCCACACTATTATTAAAATGTGCTAAGCATCATGTCCGTGAAACCTGCATTGAGACAGGGCCATGACTAACCCAGGAACTGTGGAAGAGTGAACTGCTCCTTGAAAAGTCACCAGAGTAAAATAGAAAACAGGACTGCTGAAGCTGTTTATGTTACAGGGCACAAGGTCACCATGCCAAGTCTCTGTACAAGGTAGAGGCTTGAGCAGGAGCAACATGGGCAGCTCCCAGCCACGTGTGTGACCAGTGGAGTCTGACGATGCTGTCTGTAGGCACAGTACAGTAGAGCAGCACCAATCTGTATGGGAAGTAGCTTTGAGGGTGGGAAACTACCAAGGTAAAGACAATTACCTGAGCAGATGAAGGGTAAAACATCTGGCATGTTCTAAAAGGATACATTACCTGGAGTAGGATTAAGAAAACAAAAAGCAGAGGTAACTGGCAAGCAGCAGTTCTACAACTGATTTAAAACTCATCCACCTGCATTGCAACCTAATGAAATGCAAAGGAATTCAACATTAATTAAAGAAGTTACAAAAATAAAGCCCAACCCGCTGCCTTGAAAAGTTAAGTCAGACTTTCCATTATCAAAAATGGCAAAGATGAGCGCACTTGGCAGTTGAGATCAGTATCATTAATGAGAACTGTTGTATTTAAGTTTCCCAAGGTCTCTATCAATCACTACTGCAAGTTTCAGCTGAAATGAAATTCCTTTGCTGCAAGATAAACTTGCTGAGTTACAGAAGTGCCAGTTCTGCCTTTCCTCCAAGCTTCACACGTTCTTTTGCTGTGTTTATGTACCATCAGCCAGATCTGTCTGCATTCATTACTGAACAAGAGCGCTGATTGGTATCTGAATTGCTGTGGGGTTGTGCTGAAAGCACATGGCCGGTACATGATACCATCCTGCCCACAGTTACCAGGCTCAGTCCTTCCGGATACTTGGGTGCAAATACTTTAACATGGATTCTAGTCACAGCAGAGAAACTTTTAGGGTGGAAATTTTGCAGTACCTGCTCTTCAGGTGCCCGATACCTTCCTGTTCCTGGTTGTCCTCCCACGTACAGAAAAAGCTGCTGTCCCTGGATTGTGTTTACTCAGATGGGGAAGCCTGACTGTTCTGATGTTGGTCCCTCGCTGAACAAAACCGTTTCCAGCTTAATGACACAACTTTGTCCTTGCCAGTGCTGGTGTTTGGGAGCATGGGTTTGTGAAGGAAGAAAGGCTTGGTGGGCCCTTGAGACACTTCAGAAGTCAGGCTGTTACAGAACAGAAATACCTCATTAAATGACAGGCTTTACAGACCACGTAGTTTTGTTTATACACAGAAATAAGTCTGTGTATTTTCTTCTAACAAACTGCTTATTTCTATCAGGAATGAGAGAGATCTCCAGGCCATCAGAGCTGCTCAGAGGAGTCCACAATGACTTAAAGCTGCTTTACTTTCTGCTATTCTGCATCCCCAAAAAGTTCAGTCTGATAGTGGGAAAGGCTGGGGAACATGCCAAGGACATGGAAGCATGAAGATGATGAACACTGTCTCATCATTCACGGTTACCTGTGGCTGTAGTCTGCCACCACCACCTGTGTACAGATGCTACTGGTACTTCACACACATGCTTTTGACACAGAAGAGCGTGGCACACCACGTGTTTGTGGACTTCATTTTCTTGATGTGACTAAATTCTGTTCTTCAGCCAGTCCTGAAGCAATCTGAGATACAAAAGGAAGATGTCTGAAGCCTTTTCCTCCTTGCACTCATAGCCATATTCTACTGCCCTAGCTACTGATGCTGAGAAGTAGGAATGATACAGATCCGTCCTCCAGACACACAGAATGGCTGGTTTCACTGCACACAGATTCCCAGATTGCTGTTCAATCTACCACTGCCTGTCCAAGATGAAGCAAACCCCAGAAACCACCATTATGGGGAACTTCAAAACCACCTCACTGAAGAACACGCATCTGCCTGCGTACGGGAAGCTCAAACGCAAAGGAAATGACTTCCACTTACACCAGGTACACAACCTGGCAAATACCAGAGCTGCCCAGTTCAGTGACATCATTGGGCAAATGGTGATTTTAAAGAATGTTGGTGACACCAGGGCTGATGTAGTTTCAGGTGAACCTTTATAAGCCATAAATATTTATTTGCTTTGCTTGAAAATGTCAAGAACTTGGTGTACTTCTATATAGAAAAACTGAGAATGAAAACAGCTCCTAGACTAAATTCCGGTATCAGACCAACCTCCCATTTACTGTTCCCACTCCTCACAGGACCACAGGAATTCTCACAGGGATTTGGTATTCATAACTGAGGCTCTGTCTAAGCAAAGAATCACAGGGAAAATTTTAAACTATGCAATCAAAAGGTGCTGGGTCTTTATTGTGGGGCTCTTGCTTTGCTCTATTTCTGCAGACATATACTTCTGTTAAGTAATATATATCCCAGGCAATGGTTAATGGTGAAAGAATGCTGTAAGGCCACGTGCAACCACGAAATAAACCTAAGTTTAACTTTCTGAATCATGTCTCTTTGTACTGGAAACATCTCATCTGCTAGAGGGGCTTGTTCTGGGTGGTGCGACATGGCCTGTCCTTCATCCAGCCTGCTCCTCTCAGTGAATCTTTACAAGAAAAGGACTCGGGTTCCTTTTCTGGCAGAAGCAAGGGGTTAATGAGTGAATTACATCCTCACCTGAATGAGAGCACCTTGCTCCTCTGAAAGGAGTCACTCATGGCTGTAGAGCAGTCAGATACAAGGTACACGCGGAGTTAAAATGCTCTGACACAGAACAGTGTCAGTGAATTCTGTTCCAATAGATCATGTTTGTTACACAGTCACCTAATGACTTTCTACCTTTGGTGACCTGAACAATGAAATAAAAAGGGGAAGACCTCCATATTCTTTAATGCCATCACACTGTTACCTGTGCACAACTGTGCTGCTATCCCAACTAAAATGGACACAAAATAATCTGACTTACTGTGGTCTTGGCTGTGGTCTCAGCTGGGCTTGACTGGTTGGAAGCACTGGTTGGACACAAACCACTTGGAAGAAGCTACAGAGAGTAGAAGCACAAGTTATTAACGGTCACACTCACTGGGCACCTGCAGCAGGCACTGCAGGGTCGTACAGCATGTTTGCTAAGCACTGCATCAATCTTATGACCACGTAACAGCATAATACAAGCAGTGAATGCCCTTAAAGGACAGAAACACGCTGGCTCCGACTACAGTTCACATTACAACCCATGACACAGGCCCCAGTGAGGCTAATTCTGTTTTGCATACACAGCTGGCACTGCGATCAACTGGAGACCACAGTGATTGATCTCCACACTTGAGGTGGGTAACACACACAAACTAGTTAAGAAAAAAAGCCCAGTTTGCTGCTCAGGAAAGGCAGATGTCAATACTGCACTGTCAGCAGGGATCAGCTGCTCCAGGGGTTGTTGAGTGTGTAAGACTTCCACACACTGTAAATGCTACAGAGCTGTGGTCATAACAACACATTTTACTGACAGATCATACAAAGCAACAGCTAGTGTCAAGCAGCTGAATTAGACCAGCAGGTGAAACAGTGGCCATTTGGGGGTGGTGTTGTTTTCGAACTAGATTATTTAGAAGGCAAATTTAGTATTTTTTCTTATAAAAGTACATGTACTTGCAGTAGTCTCAGACACTGCCTCTAAACTGAAACTGATTTACCAAACAGATTATTTGTGCTGGAGTTTACAGAAACATTGCTCTCATTTACGCATCTCTGTAAGTATTATTTATCCCCCTAGTTATAAACAGTATGCCTTAGATAATTTTTCACCCCAGTTTCAGTAGGTCCACTAGGACTTCTACATTCTTTCAGGAACAAATGAGACAGATCAAAGGCAGCATTTACTTTATACATCTACAATAACAGACATACCACCCTATTAGCCTGCCTGTAGGGACAGGGTCATTAAATAAGCCCTCACTGCCCACGAGCAGGCAGAGCTTCTTGTTCTTACATTGCAGATGAGGAGAAAATTGTCTTCTGGTTTCTGTCACTGACCTTCCCACACGCCTCTCTGTGCCATCTGAACAGAGGTGCTGCCTTGGCTGCACAACAACAGCAGAGCAGAGCCCTGGTTTAGAAGCTACCACACCACCTCCTGCATTCTGGCTGAAAAGGTGACACAGACTTCAAACACTACATCAAGGTAAGGTACCTTCACCCTGAGAGCACTCTGCTGCTGTCCTCCATTTTCTCTCTTGATTTCGTTACCTTTAATTGTGCACATCTGAAAAGGAGGAGAGGGATGATGATCAATTCACAAATGAATCCCTTTGCTCCTGGCTTTCAGGAGTTCTTAGGCTGTCATTCAAGTAAAAAGATGCCATAAACAGATCTGACATTTTAGAGCAACCCTTACACATTTGTGAAACACACTGCTTGCTCACTCAACCAGGCTGCACTGGTACCTCATGTACAGCACTGCAGGAGCAGGCAAAGGAGACACCTAACACAGCCAGGAACAGCCGAACTTCCTCAGTGATTGTGCTTCCTCTCCTCTTTCTCTTGGCCTAGCAGGTACATTCCTTTATCACTCCCTAACCTCTACATCATCCTTTCCTCCACCACCCCTACATCACACCTGTACTGCACTGCACAGGTCTTTTCATGCCAATTCCTTCCTCTTTCCACCCATCACCATATTACTTGTTTCTTCTAAACTATCAGAGCCCCCCTAACATCCTAAACACCCTCCCTTTGCTATTCACCACCCAGCCTGGACAGTTACAAGAAGCTTCCACACCTGCAGCTATGCAGACAGGCATCAGATCTGGACAAAGGAGCAAAAGCGCTGATGGGAATTTCAAGCTACATAACAACACGTAATCCAGCCTCAAGTCATCAACATCTAAGCAGCACTGGACAGACCAGCAGCCAAGCAGAAGCACACACTCTCCCAAAGGTATCACAAGCTGTTGAATTTTACGTTTTTGCTCAAGCAAAAAGGCTGACAGATTTATTTTTAACACCGTATCGGTAGTAATCCACTAACCTTAAACCTGTGTGGGTGAAGTCTCAAGGCTTTTCCTCTCCTTGACAGATCTTGTTCCCAGTTGTCCTTCTCAGCTAGGTTTCACTGTCCATATGCTGCCAAGAGAATAAATAGACTAGTTAATGTAAAGAAATGTTCCAAAAGCAAACACAACAAACCAGCCAAAGCAAAGCAGTAACTCACAGTGAGAAGGCTGCCTGGGACCATCCCGCTGAGTTTACCAATGTAGTCCCTCCTCCATGCAGCCATCACAAAAAGCAGGGCACACACACAAAGACTGCACCTGCTTCAAGTCCTGAGCACTTCCCTGTATTTGTACCTCAGCTGGTAATAACCAAGCGTAGGTGTGGTTTTTCCAACCACCATTCCCTCCCGCATGTCTTGAAGAACATGTTCATCGCAGGTCTTGGTGTTCCAAAAGGTACGACCGAGAAGTCACTGACTTAGTGCAAACACCACAAACAACTAAACCATTACTGTGTTACCAACATTATTCTCGCCCTGAATCCAAACACAGCACTGTACCAGCTAATTCTATCCCAGCTGAAACGAGGACACATTTCTAGCCCCATGTCCTGGTCTGCACCCCATGAACCCTTAGGCAATGTGGGATTAAGTCTTTCTACAAAGTTGACTACAGAAAGATGCTTAAAATGGTCAAGTACCTGATTGTTCTGTCCATCTGTAAGGTGGAAAAACGAGCCAGCACAGATGTGTGCTTTGTCACAGAGTCAGAATGATCATCTTCATCAGTCTGCTATGAAGAAACTCCTTCAGTCTATGTATTCAATATACATACAGGAATAAAGCATTGCAATTGTCAAAACACAACAACTTTCATCACTTCGAGTTTCTGAATCCTACAGCCTCCTCCTCTCATTGCTGGGCATACCAAAAACAGAAGCATAAACAACAGCCAGGTGAATAGCTTCAGGTCTGCATCATCTCTGGTTTTTAGTACAAAACCTGAGTTCACTGGCTAAAAGCCTGCTTGAAGCCCCCAGTGAGGAGCTCACTTAATATTGATTGCACTCTCTTCTAAAAGCTTTCAAAGAAATGACATCTATTACTGATGTCATGATCCAAACACTCTAAAAGAGAGGGGAATTAAGAGCAATGTTTTTAGTGTTCCATTTTGCAAGCTGTTCTTATTACCCGGACAGAAAGACAAAACCTACCTGGCTTTCCCCAAAACACGCGAGAAGTTTTGTGTTCTCTTTACTTGAAGGAAAAAATGTCCAAGGACTGTCAGTATCACAGCTGATTATTCCAGAAATAAGCACAAACACAATACCTGTAACTTCAAAGGGTTAAAGTCAAACAAACCCCGGCAGTCTCCTCTCAACTGTCTGATAAATGTACCTCAAGTAACCTGTTTGCTTGGAACAGTTATTGCATATTCACTAGTGAGTAACACGATTTAACATATTAAGCAAATTTACACAGAATGAGCCGTTCCTGAACACCATAAATGAAAAGCAAACTCCAAAATATTTGGAGTGCAAGAGATGCGTTTTATTGTATGCCCGTTACGATGAGTAACACATTTAGAAATCATAATCCCACATAACAGTGACACTCTTATTTTACAGCGTGTACATCAGTTTTTACAGCCACAGAAAACACGGATTTTTCTAAGGAGATTTCCCAAATTTAACTTTCTGAAGTTTAGAAATATAAAAAAAATTTATTCTCAAGGAACTGATTCTCGTCTGGTGCAAAAAACCAAAATATGAACAGTTCTGAAACACAAAGCCACAATATAGCATGAAGTTACAATTTATCATGTGAACAGCTGTGTGCAAACATGAAGCAACTAAAAAAGTAAAAAATACACATTATATGCATAACATTTATGAACAGGTTTTTCATTAAATAGCCCTAGACCAGCTTGTTATATTAAGCGCCATTTGATTCGCAGCATGCTAACACAAAGCATTGTTTAAAGGGATGCATATTTTAAATGTATACACTGTAAACTGAAGATCCACCTCCAAACTCTAGTGGCAGCATATTTCTCTGGTTAAATACTGCATATATACTTTCTTACAGATTGAAAATGCATGTTTATAGTATGGTAGAGACTTTTGTAAAGGGTTGATTAAAAGGTGCAATTTCATGTCTATATGGAAGATTTCACATTAGGAGGCAGGACGACACTCGTCGTACCAGTTAAGAACACTGCCCTAAAGAACTTCTAAGTACTCTGAATGTTAATTAACAAAATCTGACACTTTTCAAGTCTGTTTTCAATGGGTTTTTTTAGAGACGGTTTTAAAGTAGCGAGGAAAAGAATTCAGTGTTGGGTCACAACACTATGAGCTGCATCCGTTTTAGCCTTGAGGAAGAAAAAAAGTCAAATCCAAAGTTAATTTTGTTCTATGTGCCATACTGAACGACATTCAACTGGAGATTCAGATAAAAAAGGGAAATTATATACATACACACCTTTAACCCTAGCACCAGAACACCACCTCTGAGACCATAACATAATGCTATATTTTAAACATCATATCCTGCAATGAAATAGGTTAGCAGCTTTGAAACCATTAAAAATTTCCTTGTTGGACCTAAACTAATACAGGAAACAAAAAAGTTTCCTAATGAAATGTCTTTTTTTAAAAGAAACCCCCACAAAACCCAAAAGAGACCCCCCAAATTGACCAGTTCTGGAATTTAATTCCTAGGCACGATTTTAAAACGTTATGATCAAGTAACTGGCTAATACTCTCCTTTCAAAACTGCACAAGAAGTTAAGACACGGTCGCCTTTGCAAACAGTTTGTAAATAACCCCACCATATATCTGAACTGTGTTCATATTGGAGACAAACGCTGTTACTGACAAAATGGGTAACACAATCACCTTTGTTTTGTCTTCTATAGCTTAACGACGTGTAATACTATTAATTTAAAGACATTCATCCATCTTTCTGCAAATTTAAGACATTCATCCATCCTTCTGCATTCTATAGTGCTCTTTAGGTTCTGATAAGCAACAATCATAGGGCTATGAGATCCCCTGTCAACCCTAATACTTTTAAGACTTTTAATACAAAGAATGTAAAGTTATGGTTTAATATCAAGCTTTGAAACCAGGAGAAACAGTTCATGAGATTTTTTTTTTCCCCAATTAGCATATCACAGTTTCTAAATTGCTTCCTTCTGGAGATCATATTATGGCCTCTTTGTGGTGCCTCATTATATGCTGATTTTTTTCGGATGGTCTACGGAACCCCTTTTTGCAATACTCACACCTATGTGGATAGTCCTTTGTGTGTATTGATATTACGTGTCGTTTAAAGCCTGACGCATCCGTAGTGCTATATTCACAATACTGGCATTGATACACTTTTCTTCCACTGTGGGTCTTCATGTGCTTCTTAAGTTCATTCTGCTGCCTAAATCCTCTTTTACATCTTTTGCATTTAAAAGGCAGGTCCTTGGTGTGAACTGAGAGGATATGCCCGCTAAGTACAAAAGGATCTGACGTTTTAAAGTCACAGTGTCTACACTGATGTATTTTTTTACCTTTATGGGTTTCACTATGCTTTTTGAGCTCAGATGGACGATGGAAGCCTTTTTCACATACCTCACATTTGTGGGGAAAATCCTTTGTGTGAACTGAAATAATGTGTCGCTTCAGGTCACTTGAATTGGTGCTCTTATGGTCACAATGTGGACATTGGTGAGTCTTATGCCCTTGAAATAGTTCTGTGTGCTGCTGCAGTTCTTTTTCATCTGCAAAAGCCTGGGGACAGTGCTCACACTTAAACGGTAGATCAGTCCCGTGTTTGGTTTTGATGTGAGTTTTCAGGTTGGACTGATCAGCACACCTGAAGACACAGTGCTGACACTGGTATGGCTTTTCCCCAGTGTGGGTCCTCATATGCTTTTTCAGCTCTGATGGGTGACGGAATCCTTTCCCACATTCCACACACACATGAGGGAAGTTCTTACTATGAACTGCAAGTAGGTGTCTATTGAGTAGTCCCTGCTCTGCAGTTTCATAGTCACAATATTTGCACTTGTGTAGCTTGGGCTCCTTGTCCCTCAGTATGAGTTTGTTAGAACTCAATGGGCTTGCTTCTCTGTATCTTCTTGTATATTCTGTGAACTCATGCGTTTTATCAACTTTATTTATAAGTTTATGGCTTTCCAGATGATTGTGGAAACTTACTTTTTTGTTAGTTGTAAAGTCACAGTCTGTACACTGGTACTTCTTCTTAATCATATGATCTGGATGATTCTTCATGTGCCTTTTCAAGAATCCTCTGGATTTAAATTTTTTCCCACAAATATGACAAGGGTAAACTGTTAAGGGCTGTCCATCAGGACCTATTATAACAGCTGTTTTTAAACAAACAAAAACAAGTTATGAAGGAAACAAACTTACTGATTAAGAAGTTTTAAATCAGCCAACTGCTGTTCAGATTCATGCACTTACGCTTGCAGCAGACAGAGAATGGTTCAGTAGTTTAAAAACAACCAATACACAGCACCTATAGTTTATGTAGCTTTGTTTTAGAAACTGCTCAAACAGACCAGCAGCATCATACATGCAGTGAATATACCCATGAGTAGGCTTTAATAGCTTGCCAAATTCAAATGAATTGCACCAGCCCTGAGTGTACTGACTCCGAACAGCAAAAATGATAACATTTTCTATTCGCAGAACTGGAGGGGGGAAGGACACAGGAAATACGCAAATCATCGTTTGTGCTTTTTAATTCTGCATCAGCTTAAAAAAACAGAAGAAAAGGAATAGTAATACAGGAGTAAGTGCCACTCCGTGACAATATGCATAACCGTACAGTGTTTACCTGTTTGCCATTGCCTGGCCTCTCCTCTCCTCCTTTTCTTGGTTTTTTGTTTTAGCACTCTATTAGTGCTAATGCTATCACAAATCTGCAGGTATTGTGTTGCATTACCGTTTTTGTTTTCTAATCGTGTATCCAAGTTATTTCCTAGAAACAAAAATCAGACACCATAAAAAACCTTAAACAACCTTTTTCTTTGGGACTGGTGACTGGAATTGCACAGCAGCATATCTACTTTTTGCAATGAACATACATAAAAGAGTGCCCATATAAAGCACTACCTATCTTTGCTGGCAAGAATCAAGAATGTAATTGTTTAAACACTGATTAATTTTCAAATCTATTCCTTGATTTCTCATACTTCTCAATGCATTAACTTCTTACAAGTTATGCTGTTTCCTTTCTATTCAACTTGGCTTTTCTTCTTAACAACTGCATTATCTACGCTATTAATTACAAAACTCTAATACTGAACCTGGCAGATCCTCCCAACTTCCCCACCCACTCTGAAGGCCTACAACACATCTATAATTGTTTTCATTTCAAAAGAGCAAAGAAAGACTGTGGAGCCCTTCAATATATGCTTTATGGATAATTTTTTGCATTAACAGATTAGAAGAGCTGACCCATAAACATACATATTCTCAAAGACAGCAAGTTAGATTTAATGCTGAACCAAGCACAGTTACATATTCTTACCTGCCGCTTGACCATCTTCGTATCTTCTGGGTAACCTTCTTTCATCTCCTGTAGAAAATGGTATTCTAGTCATTATAAATTAAAACTCTCTTTTTTAAAAGACAGTGGTTTTGAAAGTCTGATAAAGAGAGAAAACTAACTCAGCTAATAAGTAACTGCTTAACTGTATCCAAACGGAGATGTGCAGTTCATAGTCAGTTCAGTATTTTATAATTATGAGCCCCAGGGAATATAATCATATCTTTCCGAATAGCTAGTATCTACTAAAGCTGTGTTTGCATTTGACTGTCTTTCCTGCTTTTCAAATTAATATGTTTGTTTCTGCAAACTTTTAACCTCATATATAACCTTGTTTCTGGTTTGGTATCTGAGGTTATCTGAAATCCACTATTTGTTCTTGAGATGGAAGCACTTTATCTTTCTGGAGTATAACTAGGCAGATAAGAAGACTTATACCTTATCAGCCACTCAGCACCTATCTACATGAGACACTGCACAGTTTGGAGATGTAGAATAATACCTTAAGAGTATATTCCTCACTTTGGATTGAAAGTGGTTACTGCTATGTGCCAAGGTAGTGTAGTTCTAAACCACTTTATCAGCCCAGCTACTGTGCTCACAAATATCACACCAATGAATTTTAACTAATTTGCTTACATACCCCATGGATGACCCCACACCCTCATAATGCACATTTAACATGCCAAAATCCAAGAAAAAAAAAGAAGGAAACCGAAGAATATTTAGAATTTGCAAGACATCCTGAGAAGATGCTCCTACTACGTGAAGGATGGCTACAGAGAACAAATTGCCTTCTTAGCAAGACTAACAGGTTTAAAACAGTTATATAAACTGAAATTAGGAACTACTTTATACACTTACTCCTCCTATTCCCTTTCTGAAGTTTCTTCCCCTTCCTCCCAGCTATTGTGAAATACTTAAGGCTATTCGTAGTTTTTAAGATCTTCAACAGCCAACTTAACCATTAAACCCCATGCATTCTGTATATCTGAGCTGGAACCCAGAACAGTATAAAAATTCTCCTAACAGCTTTCCTTTCTACTCCATAAAGCTCAGCATTCAGCAATCCATTCATTATATGCAAGACAATCAACTACTCAGGCAATCTGTAACTGTCTGACAGATCAGCACTGGGAAAACACAATGATGTAAAAATTGTTTTCTTCACACTGAACTGCAAAAAAACCCGAGGACCTTGTGTGTAAAAGGTCATGAATGATGTCAAGATGATTTTTCATATGAGTTCATCAACTCCACTAACTGACACTGCTAAAAGATCAGAAGGAGCCGTTTCCAAACCTTTAGGACAAGGTGAGAGATTATCACATTTGCACAGAGATTCTGGAGAGTAGATCAGGGAGGAAATAATGGAAGGGATTCTCAAAGGAAGCATACAGATTCCTACCGTAAGCAGCAGCCCAAGCAACAGGGACAAAGGTTTTATTCACGCTGGAGTCTTCGAGCTGTGTGTCTGGAAGTGGCGTGGCTTCTTCTTCACCTACAATGACTTCCATATAAACTTCATCTGCTATTTCAGCACAGCCTAGATTAAAGGAGAAGAAAAAAATCTTTAGCTCAATTCTGCTCATCCTAAATTTTCCTTCAGTGAATTTGCTCCCACTTTGATTGATACTTGTTACAAATTACTTTTCTTCCTTTGGCATTTAGAATCACCACTTCCCTTAGCCGGCCACTGTTTACTCAGACATTCCTTAAAGGGAGAAAGGGGGTATCAATAAACACAAATCCAAACCAAATACCTACATAAATTCAAATATACAAACTTGAAAACTTGTAGCTGATGACATTTATTTACCACTTGGCCAGAAAGCTGATTAAACGAGGCAACTGACAGTAGGTAAGCAGAGAAATGAGAAATCTGACAGACCTCATTAACTTCATCCATGGACATGCTAAATTTACTATTAATAATGAAATGACTGCATACAGTATGTGCAAAGTGCATTTATCCACATCACTTTAATTATAGCCTGCTTTTTATCTTTAGGGAAGATGAGCTTTAGTTTTCTATTACTTCAGGCTGAAGAATCCTTCAGGGAAAATAAAGACATCCTTGGGAACGGTGTTTATAGTGTTGTATAAAACAGCATGAGGAACAAAAACGTTTCTTATTATGCTTACTAATATCTTCATCTTCCTGAGAAGAGTCCTTCACAGCCATGTAAACCATTTTTTCTCGCTGCATTCTACCAACACCTCCTTGTTCAATTACTCCAGCTACAGAATGTCCATTGTGAAAGTCGCTCTCTGTGACGATTTCTGTCCCACCTTTAATAAAAAGAAGTTGAACACACTAGGTACATGTGAACAAAGCCACTGTGCAGACTTTTTCAGATTTAAGTATGTTCTTCTTACGTACAACAAAGCTATTTCATAAAACTAAAAAATTAAATGTTTTTACATCCATGTCTGACATAAAATCATGCAAGTCTGGTATTCTGGAGCAGGTAAGGAAAAAAGGTCTTTCAGTGTGTCCTGATAAATGCAAGACTGAACAAGCTCTACCCAAGAAGGATCAAGAGCCTTTATGCCTCTAGCAGTGAATTGAAGCACAACTGGGAACATACATCTGCCCACACCCTCAAAAAATTGACTGAGTCTCATCTTGCTCCAAACACAATCTTTAAATTCTCTCGAGATGTGAACAGCCAATTCTTACACCTCTTTATCTCCCCAGATCCCATTTATTCACTTTGCAAGAACCGATTCTTAGGTAATTTTCCCTCATCACACGGGACCGAGGAGCACGTAACTTCATCTGGGGTCATGCTAGTCAAACCATGAGAGAGCAAATGTCATTACCAATTACTTCAACAATAAGAACATTATCTAGAGGGAAAGACTAGCAGGGATGTAAGGTGATGCACTGAATACCTGGAGACAACACAATCCAAAAAGTAACACATGAAAGAAGGAAATGAGAACACGGCCCACATGGTCCCACTCCATGTGACTAACAAGCTTTGGCTCACTGACTTGAACGGAGGCAAAAGAACACGCTCCAACCTGGAATTCGATATCAATGCTTGAGTCACGAGAGAAGTGGCAGATAAATATTGATGCTTAAGTCTTCCATGCATCTCAGGGACTGAACAGATAATAAAGAAGTAGAGAAGCTGCAGATATCTGCAGAACAAGCTAACAACTACACTAAGAGTCCTTGGTTGCTACTATGACTGGTCCTGATGGAAAATACTCAGCTAGGAGGATGAGTTCAAATTATATACGTTGATCCTTCACTCCCTGTGTCTGTAAACAGAAGATTTTGCCAAACATCCTTCTTCCAACTAAATAAGCAGCTCTCCCTCTGCAATCAACATGTGAAATTTCAGTTTTCCCAAGCTAGATGAAAACTGAGATAATATTAGAAACACTGGGATGGGTTACATCTCTGTGGAATACAGTGTTTGGAGACCGTCATGCTTTTGAAGGCAATGGTGAGAAAAACAGACAGTTTAACTAGCAGCTACCCCTATCAGTCATGCAACACAAGACAGATCCCAAGGAAGCAAAGGAAACACTTCATTATGACACTTTGGAACAGGTAGGGTAATTCTGTAGAATTACAAGAGAAATAATCTCCACTGCAAGATGCATATAACCTGTGATGAAGTAGTCAAGAGCACCTCTTCAACAGCAGTCGCCACTGCATGGAGGGCAGGAAGCTGGGGGGCATATGAAAAGATGAACTGCTTCTCAGAGAGAAAAAACCACAAAGGCATCATACAGCTAAAGATTTCCTGAAATAGCAGTTCAAGCCACTGGGAAAACTGCACCAGGATTGTTACTAATTGGAGTTTTTTGATCTAATCCGTTGCTCTGTCTCAAGTCCAAGATTTTCACAGCATAGCCAGGCCAATGCTACTCATCTATGGGAGATGAACTCCCTTCTCCACTCCAGGAAGAACAGTCAGGCTGATTTGCTCTGCGAATGGCTCTGGGACTCCAGGCCAGATATGTTCCAGTGCCTAAATGCAAACAGTAAATGGAACAAGACAGAGGTTTGAGCTCTCATAACTGTAAAGGAGAGTCTGCTTTTACAAGTTACGAAAAACAGAACATGGGTTAGCTGTACGGCTGCTTACAAAGCCCTTGAAGTGCTCGATCTTCCTTTGCAAGAGAACTGCAGAGCAACTCTGAGTTTCTTTGTTAGGTTTGGAAATGACTGTCTCTACAGCCCCAGCAATCTTCCCCTCTTTCTGTATCAAGGCCACCAAGGATTGTTCAGTAATTGCAATCCACTCTAGAGGCTTTCCAGTGCTGACACAGTTTTGCAAACACTAGAGAGAAGCAAGAGCTGGAAAACAGCTGCAGACAAGCAGCCAGTTCTATATTTAGGCTTTGGTTGCCTGAAAATAAATACTGCTAATTGAAAAAGAACTCAAGATTAATACAGTCCCAGTGTTTACCCCATATGGGCAGCCTCCATAAATGCCACCTTCTACAAGACATTCCAGTCAGTAGGTTACATGAAATTAAGAACAGATGAAAATACCCTGAAATACTCCACACTACTGGAAGAATACACAGAATTTAACAGGTACCTATTTCGACATCATCTTCAGCTTCAGCTTTAAATATGTAGACTTTGATGACTTCTGAACCAAACCCGTCATCTTTAGCAACATCATCATTTGCCACCTCAGTGCTGATTTTCAAGGGAGTGCTTCCTATATGGTCCAATTTTTCTCCAACATCATCCACTGGAAACATAAGAGAATAAAAATGAGGTTCAAACTTATTTTTAAAAGTCAGAGTAATCACTAGCATGATTTTCTCCACTACCATCCCCATGCACAGTAAAGGTTTCTATTCGTGAATAGCCTTTACAAAATAGTTAATCTCAATATACTTAAAAGAGATTTCAGAAGTTCAATACTCATTTTACTGCAACTCAGGAAACACAGCAAGAATTACAGAATGAAGAACACAAGAGGGAGCTTGTCATCAAAGCGAATGTGGTAATTGGTTATTTCTGAAACTATTACATTGAGAAAGCAAAAACGTAAGTAAAATTAAACACCTATCAAAAACGTTAAAAATTAACCCAGAATTGCCTGTTACAGTCCATGTCCTCCAAAATTTCACTGCTCTAAAATTTAGTAACTGAAATATGACAAGTGATGACTAGGAATATATTCCCAATGAAAGAAGTCTGCATCAAAAATCTGACATCTTCACTCTAAAAGAAATTATGATTCTATCCACTTTACTATTTGAAAACATATAAAGATTGTTTTTATAATACTCAGCTGATTAAAAGATGCAATGACAACAAATGCAAATACTAATATGTGAAACTGACTTCTCATTCTTTATGTATACAACTTAGTCACCCTGAGTTTTTGGTCTATATATTCAAAATGCTCATTTTATTTATACAACAAAAATTCATTCAAACTATTACAAGTGTAGAAGTAACACTATTTTGGTAAAAAGGGTAGTCACTTAGATAGCCATCCATATGTATGCCCCAAATTCCCAATGTGGAGTCCACTGAACTAAGCATCTCTCTGACATATGTACTGTCAACGCACTTCTCTCGGTGGATAAAATTAGCTCCTATGCAGATGGTCAGCACAAACCTGTGCAATGCTTAACACCCACTGAAATTCTATAAATAGGGGAGAATTCCACAAAATATAAACAAAATCTGAAATAAATACATTCCAGGGAAACAGCAATTTACTGCACATATAACACTGAAATATGTGCAAACTAGGTTAAAGAAAATAAATCATTTGAATTGTTATCACAGTGACAATGTTTCACAACCAAGAACACAGCCTACTCAATGGGGACACTGCAGGCTCTGATGACCAAGGAAAGGATGCCTGCAGCGCTTCCCAGTGCCCTCAGTGCAGTGGTGACTGCTCTTGAAGAGCTGCTCTTGACTACTCCAAGCTACAGTCTGGAGCACTGAGGTCAACTGGAGTTAGTTTAAGCTTCTCTTAATATTCCAGGCAGTCATGCGAGGTGGTTCAGAACCTGCTAGAAAAGGAGCAGATGCCCCTCCTGCAGCAGGGCAGGAATCCGCCAGAGCAATACCAAACTAAGCTCTTCCCACTCACAGAGAGGATTCCACAGAAACACCTGTCCAACACTATTTTTCATCCCCACACTGAGGAACCTTGTTTCTATTTCACATATCTTGGACTGCACCAAAAGAGTACAGAAGTTATTGAGGACAGAACTAGATATAATAATGTAGATACAAATAAGTATTTGGTTTTATTTTAGAACCTCTGAAAATTATGTATTTTAATGAAAAATAATTCCTCAAGAAAAGAGTTTGGGGTTTGTTTCTGTTTTTTTTTTTTTTTTTCCTAAATATAAATTAAAATTGATTCCAGCAACATCTCCATCTGTTAGAAGGTGACATGTACTGCATGGCCTTCATGTTACCTTGCAGGACGAGAGCACTAAGAATTACGAACACCACAGATAAGAAAGCCACACAGAGAACATGGCACATTCCTTTGATGCTTAAGTTCATCAGCATCAGGTTATCAGTACATCTTTATATCCAGTATGGGGGTGTTACTGCATCTGTTAACTGATATTTTTTATGCTGCCAGAATGGAGTTATTAGAAGACAGGATCTTGTATCCTCTGCTAAAAGGAAAAGGGAAGATGCTAAAACCTACTTATCTTGGAAAAAGTATTTCTATACATTTACTATATTTGAATTTATTGAAGACCTATTTTCTCTTCTGCATGGTTTTTATAAAAGTTTCTTATCTATGTTCTTTAAAGTGATACACATATACTTTGTTCTAGTACAGTGAACATTTCCACTGCACATGAGTCTCTGAAGGACTGGAGGTAACAACGTAGGAGTGATACCATCAACAGCTATATGACTAGACATGCTGCCAAAATGCAGAAAGAATATTTAAAGGCTGAGTGAAAGAAATCACCAATTGTAAGCTGTTACTGTAATTTTAGAATGGGTAGGTGGAAGTAAAGTTATTTTCAAATATGCAATTCAAGCAACACCTATTTCTTCTAAACTCATACATTTTATAAAGTTAAACACACAATCAGTTTAACCTGGAAAAGAAACATTTCTGTACTGGAAGGTTATTTAACAATGGCAACTTCCTAATGAACAGTAGAGTAACCACATGTATGTGGTAATAAGTTTTCTTTATGGCAAAAATCTCCAACTATTTAACTACTATTGAGTGACAATGAGTGTACACCACTATGTATGTGGTGAAAGAACATAAGGAAATCCACACAATTTTAGACAGTTGCCTTACCAGGACATCAGCTGCAATGCAGCAAAAAATACAGAGAGAAAAAAGGAGGATTTTTTCAATTTTACCATTTTATAAGAATATGCATATTCAGCCAAAACCAAAGTAAAATACGTGAATAGAGCATGGATGCTCACATGCTGTATTTTAATTAAAGCCCCAAACTTCAATATCCTTTAAAACCATAGGGAGCCATGGTTACTTCCACACCACCAAGCACCCTGTGTGTTTTCAAAGGTCTGCAGTCTCTACAGCTTAAGCTAAAGTAATGGAAACATATCGGGAAGCCTCTTACCCAGGGCCTCTGGAATCACTTTTCTAAAAAAAAAAATTAAAAAATTAAAAAAATTTAAAAAAAAAAATCAAAAGTGTAATATAACAAAATCTGAAAAATACAAACTGGACTGAGAAAACGATACTGATAGAGGCTGTCACTTGTAAGATGTTGCCTCTTGTTTCAAATACCTCAACAACAAAAAGACATTGAATCGCCAATTGCTATTGCTTAAATTGCTGTCTTACACGAACTACATTTCATGGATTCAATCTACTTCTTAAACACATTTAGGTAAGGGGAAAACAATCAACACAGCAGGACATGTGTAATCTTTGTCAAGTTCCAAAATAGTAGGACTATTTTCAAAAACAGATTCTAAAATATTCTATTATCAAAAAATACAACTTCAATCACAGACTGCTAACCCATCAGTGTTAAATTATGTGATGACTTTTCCCAGTGATAGTTCTCAGGAACAGGAATGCTTACTTTAGGTCAATGGAATATGAAAGTGTCTTCCAGATCTGACTCATCCGCCAGAAGCACTACATATAATATCTCGTCACTTAAAATTAACTGAAAAAACACAACAGAGAACCTTCATAAATATATGCTGAATCCTCCTAAATAAACAAGGTTTAAAGGAAAACTCAGCACACTTCCAATTTTCAACTTACCTTACTTCGCTGTTTTCAGGTGTGTGATGTCCAGATTCACCGTGGATTGCCAGCTCCCAATTCATGTGATGCCTCAGCATGCACTATGCTGGTGATATCACACCCACCATAGGAGCCCGTAGGGATAACATGAGGGCAAGATAAGTCCCATGGTTTTACATTTTTAAATCGTTTTCTAATGTCTGATGTACTTATTTTATATCCCATAGGTTACAATCTAGGAGTACTAATATAAAATGTTTAGCAACTTACGTAACACTGTATTGTAATATACTAAAAAGGAGGTGGTGGTGGAACAGTACCTTACCCCTAAAGGCCAGCTCCAGTGTTGTTCTTTGGTGGGTATGAGGTCACCAACATAGTGCATGCAGGGCCAGCACACGGATCGGGAGCTGGCAAGCCGCTGTGGGTCTGAATATCGCAAACCTGAAAAACAAAAAAAGGGTATGCTTTAAGCTACACGTGTCCTAACTCCTCCCTGGCTAAATGGGATGCACTGCTCCTAATTTTCCCACCTCAGTGTGAGATGGACCGGATTCATGATCCCCACATCTGCATTCAGAATTTCCTTTTTAAACAAGTATTCTGGATATTTTAAACAAGAGATCGTGCACATCCCATGGCATACGTTGTGAACGTATCAGAAATATTTAAGACTTAAATCACTTCTAAAGCTGATTTAAAAAAGCTGAATTTGTCTGCACTGAGAGAGCAGAATGGTGACAGTCTTCTAGTGTAAATGTCCTATTACAAAATCATACGCAGGTGATTTACACAACTGTCAAGAGAAATTTCTTATCTTCCAAGGAGTATTTACACAAAAATATAATTACCAATAGTGTATAAAACAGCTACATGGCAATGCCTTAAAATGGTGATAAATCAGCTTTCAGTATATTTAAATTGTAACTCCCAACAGAAGAGTAAGGTCAGTTAAAATTCCACATTCAGCTCAGCTTCACACCCTAAAATGTTTGTGTTCCACAGAACAGCTGGTGGTATTCCCTAAGAGCATTATCTGTTGGCTTATGTAAAATCACCCTTTCTAGATGCTAGATTTCATTAAAAGACAGCTAAGTATTTTGAGATTCTTATAAACTAACATTTTGATGTGGCTTACATTATAAAAAAGTTAAACAGTCCATATATATATATATATATACACACACACCCCCCAAAAGAAATAGGAAGGTAACTTTCTACAGTATCTACTGAACACATGACAATTTAAAAATGTAAGTAAATAAAAGGTGTTTTAAACTGCTTGATAAACTGAGGCATTTATCTATTCCACACAACAGATGATCTGCACAAACAAAACCATTCAAGTTGAATTTAAAAACATTTAAAACCCAAACAAACTTCCCCCAACTGTGTAAGATTAATTTTTGCTGAGAACAAATAGCTAGCAGGGATTTTGTTGTGTCAAGCTGCCACCCCCAGCATAATACAGCCTCAAAACTTAACAGAGGCAAGAGAATTCATCTTTATCAATGAACTGGATGAGGAGACTGAGTGCATCCTCAGCAAGTTTGCTGACACCAAGCTGGGTGCGTGTGTTGATTTGCCTGAGGACAGGAAGGCTCTGCAGAGGGACCTGGACAGGATGGATCAATGGGCTGTGGGCAATGGTACAAGGTTCAACAAGGCAAAGTGCTGGATCCTGCACCTGGGCCACAGCAACCCTGTGCAACATCACACAAGTGAGCGGCTGGAAACCTGCCTGGCGGAAAAGGGCCTGGGGGGGTTGGCTGAACCAGCTTGTGCCCATGTGGCCAAGAAGGCCATTGACATCCTGGCTTGTGTCAGCACCAGCATGGCCAGCAGAAATAGGGCAGGGATTGTCCCCCTGTTCTTGACACTGGTGAGGCTGCACCTTGACTCCTGGACTCACTTTGGGGCCCCCCACTACGAGAGACACTGAGGTGCTGGAGTAGGCCCAGAGAAGGGCAACAAAGCTGGTGAATGGTTTGAAGAATAAGTCTGATGTAGAAAGGCTGAGGGAGCTGGAGTGTTTAGTCTGGAGAAAAGGAGGTTTGGGGGGACCTTCTGTAACTACCTGAAAGGAGGCTGTACTGAGATGGGGGTTGGTCTCTTCTCCCAAGTAAAAAGAGACAGGACAAGAGGAAATGGCCTCAAGTTGTGCCAGGGGAGGTTTAGACTGGATATAAGAAAAATGTCTTTACCAAAAGGGTTGTCAGACATTAGAACAGGCTGCCCAGGCAAGTGGTGGACTTCTCATCTCTGGAGGTATTTAGAAGTGTAGATGTGGCATTTACTGACATGGTTTAGTGGTGGACTTGGCAGCGCTCAGTTAACGGTTGGACTTGCTAATCGTAAAGGTCTTTTCCAACCTGAACGATTCTGTGATTCTATGACTGCCTCAATTTATCTAAAATGATTACTTAAAATTCTAAACAATGTAGCTTCCAACCTTGAGTATTCAGGCATATCATGATAAGACACACATACACATATATATATATAAATCTAATTTGTTGAAAACTAGGTCTCAAACTGGCTTTGAAACATTGCAAAAGCCATTGACAGGCTAGAGAACATGTGACAAAACTACGAATGTACCAGACACAGCTGGAGTTATCAGGTAACTGTTACTGAACATTTAAGATGCTCTTGTCTAAGTGCAGCGGTCACCATTATCAATCAAACTTATCTATCTTAGAAGGAATTCCAAAGATGACTTTACTTACAATTACAAAGGTGCAGTTGGAAATACCGCAGTTACAGAATACAACTCATCGTAAGTACTCTGTCAGAAAGGAGGAATTTTTTCAGTGAAACAACTGACTTTAAAAATGGTGTTGCTTCATTTACAAACACACAAGACTTTTTCTGCTGTAGGTATAATTTGCTTTTAGACTGAGGGCTTTTTGGTTCTTTTTCAAAACAAGCCCCCATTTTTACTACTGTTAGTGACATATGGCATTACAATACTGATGAAATGATAAAAAATATTTGCTGTCCATCCCATATTGAACAAAAAAGACCAAAAATATATTTTGCATAAGGGACATAAATAATAGGAAATACTGAGATCATTACAATCACCAATGAGTCATGTCCTCTGTCTTGAAAGTTGCATTAAATGCAGCTTGCTGTGAACAAGCTGACACTTTGACACACTTGGTATTGCCATTTTTTTAACATGTTGCTTCTGACTAAATAAAGCCTGGTTTGACCTACTCACGTTTCAATAACTCATTTGCACAAGTCAAAAGTCTAAAACTATCATACATTTTCTCAAACTCATGTGATAATAAAACCTTTGTGTATAACTTAATCACTGAAGAAATGTAAGATACCTAAGGTCCTTTCAGTAGATCTCACTCCATAAGTAATATAGGACCATACAGTTTCCTCAGAGTTGAATGCTGCATGGCAAGTGAAATGAGTAGCTACTTTCCAGTGTTACAGAGCCAATCAATTAATACATACAACCCTTCAATGTCAAGTTCAGTCCAGAACACCACAACATGCAATAAAATGCCCATTTTCACATGTAATACAGCTAAACAAATGTTTTGTGGGCATGTAAGAGAAAACTATGTGTCAAGTATCTTAAAAACTGACTTCTTTGTTGGATCCTATTGATTAAACCCAACACATTATTTTTACAACAATCCATGTAACACAGTAATATACCTGTGTATTTACAAAAAAAAAAAAATATTATACTAAAAATACGTGGAATGTTTAACTTTGCAATGCATTTGTCTTAGTTTTCAGGAATATCTAGTTTCAGAAACAGACATACACACACATTCACTCAACAGCATGAATGTCATTCTTTTTCTTGCTGTATAAATTATGATTTTTTCATCATGAAACCCCAAATCCAGGCACCAAGAATTAACTGGGCAACAGACTATTATTTGAGAGTTCCAGTACACAATGCAGCAAGAACCAGTTAAGAGGAACTTCTCCCCACCAGACCACTTTCACTTCAGATAATCTCTTGTTCATATCTACCTCTGTTTAACTTACAAGATATCATTAAGTAGTCCTCAGATGTGCTCTTGCCATCATCATCGTCTTCTGTTTTTATAGTCACTGTGGAGCCAGGAACAGTACCAGCTGCTTGAATGACTGCTTCAGAATCCGAGTTCGTTACGAGAACTTCTTCTGAAACCATCGTTGGTGAGTTGGCTCCTGACACAGAGTCTTGCACCACATGCTCCAAATGTCCATCAGGACCCGTTACAAGATCAGCCACAAAAACCTGATCGGGAACTCTAACCGTTTCTGTTATTAGATCAGAAGTCAAAACATGATCACTGGTATCTAAAGCTTCTTCAATAGCAACATCAGCTTCCAAAACAGAATCAGGAACAATTACACCTTCTGTTACAACATCAGTTTCAGTGATGATGTCAGGTCCTTGGACAACTTCAGCTGCTAAGCCATGATCAAGAGTTATTCCATCATCGGTAACAACATCAGAAACTAGGACAGCTTCAGGAACTGATACAACAATATGGTCTCCATCAATATGAGCAGTGCCAGCCATTCCAGCCACTATGAAACAATCATGAATGAGGAGAAAAATGTTAAAATTATTGCATTAGCTATTAGTTTATCCATGGAATAACTGTATAGAGGAGTTAAACACAGATGTACAAACCTGTTACTTTTCAACAAATCACAGTTTGCATTTCACCTGATAAAATTTATCCAAAGCAGCCTGTATTCTTTAAATTAAGAAAAACAAAACACGCACTTAAGACATAATGTGGCGTTTGTCCCAAATTTAGGTTTTACAATGCTGATATGTTAAAAATGACAGGCCAGTTGGCAACTGCACCTTTTTTTTTTTAAATCCCAGTTAGAAAATATTTGATTACAGTAGTAACTTGCACCTTCACAGAATTCCTGCATGACATGGGAAGTGCGGTGACAATACATTAATTGCTGTTACAGCACAAGGACCCCCATCCTTTAGACTACATGGGCCTCGATAGAAAACTACTCAGCTGTATGCAATGCTTGTAGTACAATTTCCAGCAACTTGACACATTGCAAGAAATGGCTCTAAGCAGAAACCTGTTTTTCATTAAGAGACTTGACTAGCCAGTCACATTTACACACTACTTCTCTATACATAAAAAAGAATGCAGTGAAAGATTTTAACACACACGTAAACAGAAGTTTCAATCTTAATGAATAAAACATGCAAGAAAATGGTTCTGATCAGAATGAAAAAAACTTATTCAGCATTGTACTGCAAATGCAGTTATACTGGTACACTGAGGGATGTTAATTCACTTTAGAACAAATACATGGTCCCCTCCCAATACTTGAGAAGGACTGTCATCTCTTGTCATAATGCAGAAATGGAGATCCACAAAGAAGAGTAGAGATTTCTTGGTGTCCTTTTTCTAAACCTTCAGAATTGCTGAGGTTATTCAGCACTGCTTAATTAGGAAAATAATTTAGAATCAAATTTTCTTACGTCAGCACAGTCCCAGGACTGATGTTCTTTACAGAAGACTTCTAAGCACATGTGAACATGCAGATTTAGCTAAATTCGTAAACTCATATCTACATAATGTTATCTGTTCTCACACAGACAAAGCCATTACTTCCCACCACATTTACTGAAATACCCTAAAGGAGACAGTAACCAATGTAAGCACACAGAAGCTTGAATGCTGGTTACATGCTGTACTGGATTGTATTTACCTCTCCTGTATGTTGGAGATGTAACAACTAGTCAAGATGATTTCATGATTTCAAGCAGAAGCACACACCCCACAAAACTGGTCAGCTCCAAATAACATTTTATGTCTCATCTAGAGCACTTTGGGCCTCAGACTTAACTTCCTTTCCCCTCCACAGAATTACTTCAGTATTTTGGAATAAGTGACTATTTCAACATCAGCAACCGAAGTCTACAACGACATAGTATATGCCACTTAAATCTTTTACTGTCTCAAAAACGTCATGCAAATAGCAATATTATATTAGTCAGCTCTACATCTTGATATTTATAAACATTTAGCAAACCCCTGAAAAAATAGTTTTGATTTTATTAATTATTTTTTAATAGTAAAAATGCTTACCAAAATCCTGCATAATCATAGTGTGAGGCATTTTGGATTCTTGTGTTTGCAATCCAAGACTTCCACCACCTGGATCCATAGTCAGCCAAGATCATTCACAGACAACTGCAACAACAGCAAAACCAGATTTTACATTAAACAATGTTATATTGTGTTCATCAGCTTTACTGGATTAACATGTCCCCCTGACAAACAGAAAGCAGCATTTATCAAAGGCTTAAAGAAAAAAGCATGTAGTACTTGGTACAATTCACTTTCATTTATTCTTTTGTTCTATATTTTTGACCTAAAATCCTGAAAATGTTTCCATTCATAGGCAGTCCTATAGTAATCAAAAAGAATTACATGTGATTGAAACCAAACAAGTCAGTAATTCGTGGTCAGGACTTAAAAGTTTTTTTTATACAAGTCTTTGGCTACTGCCTGGCCTAGAACAGTTCTGCTCATATTCTATAGAATTTAACTGGAAAGTGCTCCTAGTTACCCTTCAGCATGCAGAGGTACATGTTTCAACATCCTTTGTTTCTAGGAGCGGTAAACACAAGAAATGCCTAAGCTGTCAACTTCCCCACTGCAAACTGAACATTTAGATATGTTTCCAGTTTTCTGGGACTGAAATCTCCACAGAGTAACAGCCTGGTAACTGACAGCAAAGATCTCACCTGCAACACCAGCAGCAGGGTCAGGACACAGGAACAAAATATAACACATTAGTAAAAATGAACCTAGTCACAGGTAACTTAGTATCTAGAAGCAGAAACTTTGTCAAGAAGCGAGTTAACTTCGCCTTAAACTGTAGCTTGCTACAGAAGCAATACAAGTCAAGAGATCAGTAGCATGTACATGCCCTTACTAGCTACATGCCTTACTGTAATAACATATATTAGCAACTGTGCACAAAGAAGTCACTTCTGCTCCACCCCTGTCTCTATATACTCTTTAACTAATTACCAAGACTGGTGGTTACAGTGTGTGGAGCTACACCAAAGGAAGTGGAGCACCATACTGAGAGTATCAATTTTTTTTCCTAGTCTTTCACAATTTTGTAATTATCAGATATTTCAAAACAAATTCTAATGTGTACACTTAACTGGATGTTATGTTTAATTACAGGTAATTATAAGTTTCAAAAAAAGCCTGCATCATGGGCCACATTTCTAAGAACAAAATGCTCAAAGCTCATTTCCCTTCCAGAGGCTGCATATGAACCCCCCTACTGCATGAAGAGTCTGACAGAATGCCCGATAGAAAATTTAATCATTAGATTTGCATGCACAGTGCAGAACTACCCATTATAACACGCAACAGCTAAGCACAAGAGAGGCCAACTTATTTCAATGTCTCCACTGCCATGATACTCACTGAAGAAACGACAGTGCTCAACAGACTTCAGGGCTGACACCCCAGTGTTAGGACTGCATTATCCATATTGGTTGACATTTCATTTCAAAACTGTCAGGTTTTTCTAGAAATCTTATCTTCCAACACTGTCCCTTCTGTGCTGCCTCGTTTCTGCTGCCAGGGAAAGCTGGTCCTATGCAGCTATCTGCAATATCCCTCTAATAGAAAACTGAGCTTTAAAAGCTACTGATAGAAAAAACCCACCAACTCTTGGTAAGCTTCCCAGTTACCCTTTCACTGTTACACCTTCACCTTTCTTTTGTTTCTGACAATTGCTTTGCTGCTTTGGCTCTTCTAATGCCCCTTAATGCTTTAGGGGCTTCTATTTTCAGATTTCTCTTTGTCAGACCTGCCTATTTTCCTCAATCATTTAAAATTACACCAGTTCCTCAAACCTTGCCACACAGCTCTGACAGCTTTACTCTGAGTTTTACTTCTGAAATTCTCAGTGTCATTGAAATGCAATTCCAATTATTCCAATATCTAAGAATTTCCACACATGGAGAGTAAATGTTGAGCTCACTGAACTCAATTTTACCAAGATCTCCATTTCTGGTATCATCTGTCTTGAGGGTGCTGCATCTCTGCTGTAAGGCAGAGCTACATGAACTTGCTTTCAGAGAAAGCATGTAACAGCTGACAGAGCGTTTCCATAAAATACAGGAGAGAAGGATAAAATAGGATTACTCCATGTTATTTGCACTGCTACTAAATTAAAGTGTGTTGAAGTGTGGGGATTCCAAATTATTTCCAACTTGCTGCAACCCAGAAGACTTTTACACAAGTTCTCAGTGGAGATGAAATGACTGCATAAAAGCAGCTACAGGAGCGTACAGAAGAAATCTCCAGCTTAAAAAACCTCTGTTGCACAAGACTGAAATCTTGTACTTTTCTGCCCTCTCATAGCCAAGAATCAGAAATAAGTGGAAGTATCACACAGAAGATGAAGGTTTAGGAGTTGTAGGAAATGAACAGAGTAAGAGCTCAAGTAAGAACTGCCTGGTGGGGAGATGAACAGGGAAGTACAAATGCTTCTAAGAGCAAGTCCCCAAAATAGGGTACTTTCACTGCTGTACCACCAACCTTGATTTTGCTCTTCTGAATCTCATAAAAAATTGCCCCTATCTTATTGCAAGAATGTCTTTAACTCTGTGCATCTAAATCCAAAATACACTAGAAACCTCAAGTACTCTGTGGTACAACCTATTTCACAACCCCTCTGCAATGAAATAATATCACAACAGACTTAAGCACTAACATAGTCAAGCAAGGTGAGTAACAAAATAAGCCAAGCTGTCATAAATGGAGTTAAGTGCCTGAAGTCTCCGAGACACTTTCAGGCTAGAACCAAAGGACCCAGAGAGCCAGGACCTAATGCAACTCACACTGTCGCACTAATCCATAAGTAAACCACACTGCAGTAGACGTGACATTAATTTCTCTTAAACATGAAGCTCTATCAGTTACAGGCACAAGAGTCCACAGTAAAAGACCTAAAAACTGAAGGGAGTCAATTACTACATTTATGGCAACACTCATGGCTCACCAGAACTGACAGCGCTGGATCCTTGGCACCAAACCAAGTTGCCATTGCGAGGGAGATGCTGGCACTCTGTCAGTGCCTAGGGTCACGCTGCACAGGGCTGACCCACAGAATCAGGTGGTCTCTACTGCGTCAGTCCAGCACCAGGCAGTCTGCGCGTGGAAACCGAAGCTCCAGATGTTGTTCAAGCCAGGCTGGAGGCCACCAAGATGAGATGATGTGAAAAGTCAGTTGTAGTGCTACATTGCTTTACCTCCTTTAGCATGACCATGTTAAATGCCTTTGCTCCAGCAGGTGATGCAGAATTCCTATTCTGTGCAGGCCACGCCACAAATGCCAGGTGGGTACAACTCTGTCTTTGGGGGGGGGTTTATATGAAAAAATACAAAACAGGGTAACAAATAATCTTAAAGGTGAGAAATGTGGAAAACACAATCCATGCTTACTGCATCTTCATTGTCAAGGAAGGAACTGAGCAGATCATTCCTTCTTTTATACTCTTCAAATCCTCAAGCGAAGGAAGCAAGAAGTGGTCCACAATGATGGTAATTTCAAGAAAAAGTCACGGATCCACCCCAAGGAGGTTTCAACTTAACTGAGAATACAAAAGAACCAAAGAACTTGTATCACCTGGTGTCACTATCATCCTTTCCACATTGTCTCCATATATTGTTTGATCAAACCTACTTCTCTCAAATTGTTACATCAGCAATACTAACTCCTGGGGACAATGACATAACACTCTTCTTGCAAAGCCAAGGAATTCCCCAAAATCATTTCTCAATAGTGCCGTAACAGAGTAAGTTAGGTCCATAGAGCAGCCAGTACTATAAAAACACAAGTCAAATATTATCCATGAGGAAAACAGTCTAGGATTTAACCAACCCAATTCCAGCCAGACAACCAAATTTCAATGTAGTTTTAGGCTTTGGCTAAAAATCAAATTATTTCACATTTGCAAGAATTACAGAGCAGTTCCAGAACCTTCATGCAGTGCTCCAGCACTCCTCAATTATGGTCACAGCCATCTGAAACTCTTAGGGTAGCTAACAAATACTTGCCGTTACAAAATAATATACAGCTCTGGACCATGACTGCTAATTTAATATTGCGATTTCAGAACTAATGCAATCCTTTACAATTTCCAGCCTTCACACTCAGGTAATCCTTTTTTTCAACATAAATGGTTATGAAAAATTATCTTAAATTACATCAATCTTGGATTACAGAACAAGCTGCGCTTTCCCTTCTTCTCAATAAGCAGTCTAATTTGTTTTCAGATTATATAATTAGATGCCCAAACCTATTACATATTATGCTACACCGAAAATTCAATGCAAAGACTATTATTTTAACTTAAATTAGAATTTCTGCAAGGAAAGCAAATTATCATTAAAAGGAGTATTCTCCTAGTAGCTAACAGAGCTATAAAGAGGTACAGCTATGGGATGGCACCTTCTGTGCATGTAGTACTATGAATACCTCAGACTTCCACTAAAACTAGAGATGGGTGATGACACACTAGCAAAGAACATGCTGAAGCTGTACCTCAGCTGATGCAGCTGGTATCCAACCCTCACTTAATCATACCCTCAATGCAGACAAAGGACAGAGTTTCATTAACTACACAATCACCAATTTCTTTTTCAGATCTACTTTGGGGTCTTAAAGGAATGCAGGGACAGAAAGAACCCCCCTTGCTGCTAATGCTGGAACAATTAACACCAGGTTATGCCCACGGTTCTCCTACAATTGGTTGTTTCTGCTCACAGATTGCAGCAGTGCAGATGATTCAGTTTCACACAATATATGCATGCAAATCCTATTACTGGAAACAGCAAAAAATGTAGTACAGTGATTAACTGTGGTTCTACACCATGTTATATACCCACACAATAGAATAAATGTTTTTTCATGTTTTAAAAAGGACTGAGAAATAAGGCAGAAAGCCACAATTCGGTATACTGTCAAAAGCCAAAACGTACCCATATACCTCTTGCCTCTAACTACCAAGATCTCAAGAGTTTTTCCTCTATATTCTCCTTCTCCTTTGTGTATTTAAAGAAAATACCACAAAAATGCTTTACCAGCATCACTCACTAAAATAATCTTACAACATTCTATTTTTATTTTTTTTTTTAAATTATAGCATGCTATTTCGTACCAGGAAGAAGTACATCACCATCAGATCCCAAAATGAAGAATTTCACAAACCAGTTACTAAATTGAGACTCCAGGGTAGAATCTCAAGCCCAAATTTTTAAAGTATGTATGTATCTGAGAATGGTTTTCCTTTTTCTGAAAAGCATAGCTCTCTAGCTAGCTTCAGTTAGAAGCTATTTAGTTCTTTATGCCAAAGCTCTTCCTTAAACAAGACTCAGCCGAGACCACGCAATGAATTTTAGGGTAAAAAAAAGGGATATATAACCTCTTTGTCTCTGGGCAGGAAAACTACTGTAAATTACTACTGTAAATGGTGTTTAAAATTTAAAATCAAAGGTAACATTTGGCAGTTTGGCGTTACCTAAAAATACATAACAGCAAAACTCAGCTTAGAAACTTGTAAAGGCCCAGGCCCTTATTAACACTGCTCTTGGTATACGCAGTGATTTATTCTTAAGTTTACTCTTCCCATAAAAATATGATAAAATAACCATTCCTATTTTAATTTTAAGAAAGCTTTCAAAAATTGACTAATCTTTATCCAAGTATTTTAAGGAAGGAAGGGAAAACAAAGCCTCAGCACTCCCAGGTTAAAAAGAAAAGGGTGCCGTTCCTGTACCCAGGGGTACAGTGGAGCTCCCAGTCACAATGCTGGCTTACAGGCACTGTTGGCATACTTTAGATTTTTACAATATAACAAATATTTATACAAAATGCCAATTACAACTTAATAAATTTACAGAAGAGTATGTACTTAATACGTTCTTTTACATCTTCCAAACAGTGTGACATCCTAAACATCCTTTTTTAAATCTCCTAACCCTGCAAATGCCAAGCATCTCCCCAGTTCAGACATATAATTATTCCAGTATGTGGAGGGGATGCATTTGCACATCAAGCACATTTGCACGGTCAGCCCTTAAGCACTCCTTTCAAACAATGATTTTTTTTCTAAATAATTATGTCCTGTTTACATATAATAAAGGAAAACACATCAGAATTTGTCTGCTGTTTCAAATATTTGTAAGCTGCTTATGACATTTTAATTAAACCAAAAGGACCTCGCTCAGATACAGAGTGATGCAACACAATAAACTTAGATGCAGCTGAAAAATCCAAACCAGTCGTTCTCTAATTCTCTTATATTCAAGTTCAAGAAGAAAACAAAAGAGTTATCCTCCCCTGAAGTCACTTGAGGATTTTGGGGTTTCACCCCTAATTTTTAACACAGCAACCAACAGAAATGCAACAACAGACATCCTGCTTATGCAGAAATCTTCAGCAGAAGAACCCGATTCATGTAATAACGCGCAGGTTACCATAAGCCCTTCACAAAAAAAAAGACTGGGTATGAAAAACTAACATCTCCATTTTAAAGTCCTTTATTGTGTTCACCTATAAAGCATCCATGAAAACTTAGCACTCCAAATCCATTTAAAATGACAAAAGCAAAACCAGTGCACGAGATCGTGCCTTACTGCCCGAAAATACGCCTAAGGCTCTTAAATAAATTAATAAAATAGAATTTACATCTACGTGTTACATCCACAGCCGTAACGGAACTTCCCATAATAGCGACCACGGGAAGAGAAGGGCGGCAGCCGCATGAAGCACCGCGCAGGGACTGCCCTCGGCTCCAACGCCTGGACTCGCTATCCCGCCACTCCACCGGAGACGGCAGGGACGGCACCGCGCTGGGGCTGCGCGGCTGCGGAGGAGCGCGGAGCACAGCGCAGAGCAGCACAGCGCAGCGCGCGTGCTCGCGGAGCGGGCGCGCCACCGGGCGGCGGGAGCGCGGCAGCGGGGCGAGCCCGCGGTGCCGGCCGGGCAGCCCCGGTGCGGATCCTCTGCGCCCGCGGACCGCTCGGCGGCCGGCAGTGGGCCCAGGCACCCCGTCCCCGCCTGGAAGCGCCCCTCCGCACAGCAGGGAAGCGGGAGCGGTGCCGTCGCGCCAGGGAGAGGCGGCGGAGGAGGAAGGGGTGGGAACGCGGAGACAAAGGAGCCCGCTGAGGGCACAGGGCGGCGGCGCGGCCCCGGAACGCCGCCCGCTGCAGGGAAGGGGCCGCCGCGCTCCCCCCCCCGCCCCGGCCTCCCGTCGTTGCGGCGGCCCCGTCCGTGACGCGGCCGTGCTGCTGCTGTCCCGAGGCCCCACATCCCCGCCCCGCCGCCGGCGGGCTCGGGCGGCACAGGAGCAAGGTGTCCCGCGGCGGGCCGGGAGGCGGGGATAACCCCTGTCCCGGCGGCGCGACGGCCCGCGGGGCCGCAGCCTTCCCCGCCCCGCCGGCCGACATCTTGTTTTCCGCCATTTTCTGGCCGCCCGCAGAGGCCCCTCACCCGCAGGGTTAGCTGGCGACGCCCGCACCCTCCCGCCCAGCGCGGCAGCAACCGGCGGCGGCCGGAGCTCACCGACCCACCACAGGACGGCCGCGGCCGGGCCCGTCGGTGTCCGCGGTGGCGCTGGCAGGGCCCGGGCGCGGCCTGCGGCGCGGCCTAGCCGCCTCCATTGTGCCCACCCCCCGCTGGCCCGGCTCTGCCGCCTCGGCTCACCTGTGCGGGTCCCCGCGCCGGGCGGCCGCGCCGCGGGACGGGGCCCGGGGCGGGGGAAGGGCCGGGCCGCAGGACTCCGCCGCGCGGCGGCGGCCGGGCCTTGCTGTGCGCCGGGGCCGGGCCTGCACCAATCACAGCCTGGGCCGCGAGCGCGCGCGGCCTGCTCCCCTCCCCCCGCCGCCCGCTCGCCGCCGGCCCCGCCGCGGCCGCCGCACGTCACCGCGCGCCCCGCGCGCCGAGCAGGCGCACCCGCCGCGCGAGGCCGCTGCCCTCAGCCTGCCCGCGCGCCTGTGCGCGGCGGGGAGCGCGCGGCGCGCTCGCAGTGGGGCGCGGGGCTCGGCCGCGGGCACGGCAGCTCCCGCCAGGGGCGGCGCCCGGTGTCACCGTGCCCGCGGCTGCCGCCCCCGGGGCAGCGATGGGCACCGGCGAGACCCGCCCGCACCGCGGTGCAGGGAGCGGGACAGGAGCCGCCACCGCAACGGCCGGCGGGCGGTGAGAGCCACACAGCTGCGGAATGGGCTGGGTTGGAAGGGACCTAAAGCTCGTCCAGTTCCACGGGCAGGGACACCTTCCACTAGAGCAGCTTGCTCCAAGCCCCGTCCAACCTGGGCTTGAACACTGCCAGGGATGGGGGCGGCCACAGCTTCTCTGGGCACTCTCACAGGGAAGAACTCATCTCAACCTCCCCTCTGGCAGGTTAAAGCCGTCGTGTCCCCCCCCCCCCCCCCGTCCTGTCCCTGCGTTTAACTTCCTTCGAAGAGAGATCAGCAGCTGCTTTGGTTGTGCTTTGCAAGTATCTTTAAGGCATTTAACGTCCCTGAGTAGCAATCCTTTCGTGCAGAATATCCAATCTGCTCCTTAGCTGGCCCTTCGCAGACAGATCCTGTTGTATTTACATACTGCGTGATGCAAAGGCGACATTAGATCTCAGTATGCCCACAGTGGGGCTCATTATTTTATGCAAATCTGCAAATAACTGGCAAATGACAACTTTCC